GTTGCTTGCAGGAGACAGCTGATCTTGCAAGGAAATTAGTCATTCATATTTTGGGCATATGTTATCCATTCTACTTCCCTAACTCTCTAAGGACAGTGTGACTTTTAGGGTCTTAGATATGCTTACTTGCCTTTTAGTGTGAGGTTGTATAGTAATCCAGCTAGGAACTAGGTTGCATCTAACATTGCCTGTAGATGCAGCTGTGAGAAGCTGAAATTACCTGTAGGGTCTCTTTGTTGCCTCTACTGTATTTAGGTTCCCCTACAAACTTCCCTTTCAAAAAAATCCTTGCATCTCTTTCAGCTGTCATCCACTGTTATCACACTGGAGCTCTGTTGACAGAGGGGTGAGATGTGGGGGCGGGGGGAAACGTTCTACAGTCTTATGATTAAATCTCAGTCTTTTAGTAGGCCCTTGTCCCTGGACTATGACCTTCATGAGCATTTCTAAACCTTTTTTTTTTTTCCTTTTTCTCCGTCAAGTCGAACTGGAACTGGAAGACTAGAGGGAGTGAGAGCTGAATGGTTGCCCTTCAGCTGCCTAGCTAAGATAACGCTCTGATAAACTCTTTTCGCTGGGGAGTAGGCCTTTGTTACAGGAAATGCTCTATGTATATTTTAAAATCATTAGATTTCCCCTCTCTCTGCCAGGGACATCAGGTGATGTTTTCTGGTATATACTGTGAGAACCAGGTGGTATTCCTGGAAGTAAAGCCTGTAAGTGTTTAGGGGCTCCTGTAAGACTGCAGCCTCCAGGAGGCTCCAGTGCTCACACTGGTCCATACTCGGCCTCTTGCCAAATGTCTGCTTAGGTGTTCCTGCCAGTTTGTGGTTCCACCGGCATCTGCTGCAGGTGATCTGATCTCTGCTGTGATGCTCTGTAATCTCCTCTCTCTCCCGGTTTCAGGCCAGTGGTTTCCTTGAGACCTCAGTCTCTGATGGGTCCAAGACGTCATTGATTTTTAGTTTCTCCACCCGTTTTTGTGGTGTCGAGATATGAGTGATGACTTCCAAGCTCTTTAAATGTTGAAGCTGGAACTAGAGGTCTTCCACACACTTTCTTTAAAAAATAGACAGTACGGCATTGTGCATTGTTTCTCAAAAGGAAATAAATATATTGATCTCTACACCTTATTAAGTGTTGATATATTATTTTATTATAATTTTATGTTAAAATAGAGAAATACAAATTTAGACCTAAACACCATGAGCCTACAGTTCTTAACCAAGTTTTTGAAATATAATGCATATGTTAAATTTTAAAATCTCACCAAAATATTAAAATTTTAACTAACACCACCAATTTAAGACTGTGTGGGTGAGCCAAAATATTATTATATGTTTAATAGAAGGAAGATACTATTTAATTCTGATATTATCCTTGGTCTGTTTCTGTTTTTTGACTTCAATAATTCTCATATAGGAAAGTTCTGTTTAATAAGGCTATATAAAATGTTACTGGTAACTTCACAGTTTTCTACTTATGATTATCAAACAAAAAGCTCTGCCAATATGCAATTTTTCAATGTCAATTTTAATAAAGTATGTTTTGATAGTTCTGTAAATGCTTTATAATCCCAAAGCAATATGTGTCCATTGCAGCATTATTAAAATCTTTATTATTGCTTTGAATTAAGAACATGAAAAATTTTATCTCTGAACCTTTATCATATGTATATCATACAATAAATAAGTAATAATATATTAACTATATATTATGATTAACAACCTGTTGTAACTTTAGACATACAAAAATACCTCTTAGCCAGGTGCGGTGGCTCATGCCTATAATCCCAGCACTTTGGGAGGCCAAGGCAGGTGGATCACAAGGTCAAGAGATCGAGATCATCCTAGCAAACATGGTGAAACTCCATCTCTAGTAAAAATGCAAGAATTATCTGGGTTTGGTGGCACACACCTGTAGTCCCAGCTACTTGGGAGGCTGAGGCAGGAGAATCACTTGAACCCTGGAAGCAGAGGTTGCAGTGAGCCGAGATCCGTCACTGCACTACAGTTTGGTGACAAAGCAAGACTCCATCTCAAAAAAAAAAAAAAAACCTCTTAATGAGTATAAAATGTTAAATCTTCTTTTGAGTTCAGTATACCTCTACCACAATGAGCCCTAGGACATCTGAATCAATTCTTTCGAGCCATTTGTCTATTTGATTATGAATCTCTATTTGGTCACTGGACATAATCTTACATATACCTCATTCTAGACACATATATCCATAAGCAACAAAAATGCAGTAATTGGGATCCATCACAATAATTATTAATAAAGTAACTATCCGCATGATCTGGAATTTGCCCATATTTGGGTTTGTTTTCTGTATACCAGTTTTTATGGAGATTTTATAGTCCCCTAATAATACATATACTACTTCAGATTAAGAAAAAACTATATTTTGCCAAATTTTATAATCAGACTGGGTTTAAATACCAGCTCTGATGACTCATAACTCTATGATCTCGAGAAACTTAACATCTCTAAACGTTAACTTCTCAATTAGGGAAGTGATATGGCAAAGTTGCTGTGAAGTCAAATGAAAGAACGAATGCAAAGTTCCAACCCCTTACACATTACCTCTGTTCTCAATCAATCATTGGCTTGAACTGAACATTTCTTACATGGTTCCCTGCTAAAGGTGTTTTTACATAGAGTAAGACCTAATAGATAATATTGTGTTATATAATCTATAATTGTTATATATACAACTATATAAAAATATATAGTACCTATTTAGACATATGGAAAGGGAAAATTTTTAATGAAAAATTAGATTGTCTGAAGAGTGTGGAAATCATCACGTAGGGAAGTGATTAGCATTGTGGATATATACCAAACAATATTACAGAGACATATTAGAAATAAAGCACACTGACAGAAACCTCATTAGGATAGAATTCTGGAAAGTTGGTGTCTTCGCTTGCTATTCCCAGAGTCTGACTTTTCTAATCATGTAGTATTGTCAGGGATGTCTACATTTTAAACTTCAGATTTTGTCAAAAAAATAAAAACCCAAAAGGACTATATTTTAAGATAAGAAGCATATACAAATAATGATAAAGGAAAGAGTGTGAGTTTTGTAGTCTCCAGTTTTGTGTCAGTAACAATTTGATGAGGAATAGCCAATAGCATTTACGCTGCTCCAGGCTGGATCAAATTGTGATCCCACTTCTTGTCTTAAAGCTGCCTGGTTAGAAATTATACAGCTTGCTTTGATGTCTGTCTTACTACTACTATTAGCCTTTTAGTGGTTACCTTAAGAATGACTGAAGAATACTGTTACTTTGCATCTCCCAAAGGCCATGCCCTGTTCCTGCATGCTTGCTTTCAGACATATTGTCTTCTGAAGGATGGTGCCCATGGGCACGGCAATTTGGGACATCTTTTGGTAGGAAGCATGATTTCTCCTGTTTGGAAACAAAGAAGTGGCTATGGAATATAAACTAAACACCTTCTCCCAGAAGTTATCAGTTGTAAAAGTTAACTCATTAATATAGTGTTGGACGTTTTTACCTGAGTCATACTTGAACTTCTTGAATGTGAGTCAATAACTGAGTTGAATTGTATAAAACCCTGATGGGTGGCAGAAGGGAAAGAACATCCCTTTCATCTGATCCCATGCCTGAGATTCCTTCCCTCTGCTATACTACTGGAAATTAACAACTTGTCTGGTGCTTTAAAAATTAATCCTGTTATCATTATAGAGAGAACAGAAGTGAGTGTTTTTAGGTTATTACTTGTACTTAGAAAGACATCATATTCTTTCTTCATGTGTTTTGTGTTTGAGGCTAGGGATAAAGGTACAGGAAAAAGGATTTAAGAATAAAACCCAGGCCGGGCGCGGTGGCTCAAGCCTGTAATCCCAGCACTCTGGGAGGCCGAGACGGGCGGATCACGAGGTCAGGAGATCGAGACCATCCTGGCTAACACGGTGAAACCCCGTCTCTACTAAAAATACAAAAAACCAGCCGGGTGAGGTGGCGGGCGCCTGTAGTCCCAGCTACTGGGGAGGCTGAGGCAGGAGAATGGCGCAAACCCGGGAGGTGGAGCTTGCAGTGAGCTGAGATCCGGCCACAGCACTCCAGCCCGGGCTACAGAGCGAGACTCCGTCTCAAAAAAAAAAAAAAAAAAAAAAAAAAAAAAGAATAAAACCCAAATCACTAAACATGGACTCTTCTTTTTGTTTTTGTTTTTCTTTTTCTTTTTGTTTGAGATGGAGTCTCACTCACTCTGTTGCCCAGGCTGGCGTGCAGTGGTGTGATCTCTGTTCACTGCAACCTCCACCTCCTGGGTTCAAGCAATTCTTCGCCTTCAGCCTCCTGAGTAGCTGGGATTACAGGAGCATGCCACCATGCCTGGCTAATTTTTGTATTTTTAGTAGAGATAGGTTTCACTATGTTGGCCAGGCTGGTCTAGAACTCCTAACCTCAAGTGATCCAGCCATGTCGGCCACCCAAAGTGCTGGGATTACAGGCGTGAGCCACCACACCTGGCCAAACATGGAGTCTTTACTCAACATTATAGTAACATGAAAGGGGAGATCATGAGAATTAATGAATGTTTTAGAAGGCATGGATTACTTATAAAAAAGGAAAGATCAGGCCAGGCGCAGTGACTCACGCCTGTAATCCTAGCACTTTGGGAGGCTGAGGTGGGTAGATCACGAGGTAAGAGGATCAAGACCATCCTGACCAACATGGCTAAACCCCATCTCTACTAAAATACAAAAAATTAGCTGTGCGTGGTGGCACACACCTGTAGAACCTGGGAGGCGGAGGTTGCATTGAGCCGAGATCGAGCCACTGCACTCCAGCCTGGCGACAGAGCAAGATTCCGTCTCCAAAAAAAAAAAAAAAAAAAAAAAAGAAAGCTCAATCTGCCATACATTATGTGCTTGTTTCAACAACCCTTGTTTCTTTTTCTTTTCACTTCTCTTTTTTTTTTTTTTTTTAAGCGGCCTAAATGGGGTGAAGAGTGAGTTATCTGACAAATTTAGATTTTGCAAACCTGTGCATTGATGAGAGTGCTATTGAAACACATTAACAAAGATTTTCAACACACGAATGTGTCATTTCCTTTCTTCATGTACCAGATGCTGAAATACTACGAGATAAAGATTTCAGGTTTCAGTTGTAAAGAGAGAAAAGTGGATAAATCAGTGCTGCTTTCTTTAGGACCAAAGGTAAAAAAAGGCTTATTTTAATGTTTTATTCCAGAATTGTTTCTATTGATTGTTATGTGTCTGCTCTATGTGTGTATGTATGTGTGTGTGTGATGTATGATATATTTCTCTGTGTGTGTGTATATATATATATGAGATGAATGATTTCTAGTAGAATGCTTTATTCTATCAACAGTAATTTGGTTTTTTTTTTGAAATAATCAAAAAATAGAGATTTCTGCTAAATTTTCTGAGTGAAAAACATATGTGTTCACAAATACACGTGAAATATACTAAATGCTTTGTAGTTTGAACAGGCAAGGTGGTTTTTTTTCATATAATTAAGCATATTTTGTTTAAAATATTGACTTTATTCAAAGTATAATTTGATATATTTCAGATATTCTCCTTTCATAGCTTTTCATGGAACATGTTAGGCTTTAATTTAATGCCTTTTATTATCTTTCCTTGATTATATAGCAAATATTGGCTGGGTATCTACTATATGCACTTCGTTGAACTAGATGTGGGGAAAGGATACAAAAAATAAAATATAGTTCTTTTTGTGTTTGGGAATCTTATGATTTAAAACATCCCCAAATAGACATAATGTAATTTGAGCACCTTAAGTAATATGAAAGAGCTATAGATAATTACTATGAAAATATAGGCGAGGCCAAAATTACTTCTATGGGAAAGAAGTCTATCAGAAATAAATATTCATGGAGATGCTAGAAATCCTGTTAATCTTGAAGAATAAGTAAGATTCACACAGCATACAATGGGAGGTTGGCGTTTGCACTGACCAGGTAAATATAGTTATAGAAAAACCATAGAACTGAGATTATGAATGTTTTATGCAGTGATTAGCAGTTTTCTGCAGTGGGTAAGAGCTGATCTTCTGGGAGTAGACTGCCTGTGTTCAAATGCCAGCTCCCCCGCTCCCTAGCCGCGTAACATTGACTAGTTACTTACACATTTCAAGTCTTAGTTCCCTACCCTGTAAAATGGAGAAAATACTACTGTGTACCTCATGAACACACTGTGAGAACAAAATAAGAAAAGCTCATATTTTTTTTAAAACGGCATTTTAAAATAACAGTGATTCATATATTGATGGTTTTTTGTGTATCAGGCAATTTACAAAAATTATTTTTAATGCTCACAATAATTCTTTAAACTTATATTGTGATCATATTTTACATATCTAAAGAAACTTCAGTTCAAATAAGTTAAAATATTTGCCTAAGGTCACACAGCTAAGTGATGTCACAGTCAATACTCAAATCTAGATTTCAGATTCAAAAGTTGGTGCTCTTTCTTCTTTGCTACCAAGGATGAATATCAGTGACCTCAGGCGCAATATAAATATTTCCATTTCTTACTAAAATCCTTCTTACAAACAGGTTCCTTAAGCTGTTCCTTAAGCATAAAACTGTTAGTTTCACAAATAATCTTAACTTAATTTCCATGTTATATACACATTCAACTGCTGTTACAAAACTCAAAGTTTTTATTTTATATAATAAAGAGGATCACAAGGTTATTATTTATTCCAAATCTTGAAGATAAAGTTGACCTTAAGAATATGATGAAAAAACTAAATAGGGAAAAATCTTGGAAAAATGAATACATGTCAAGTATGAAAAGACAGATGGTAAATATGTATTAAATATAAAGAACTTATTCACATGCACAGCTAAAAGCAACCTGTGGGGATGTGTAAGCAGTGAATATGAATAGATAATAACCCAAGAAGAAAAACATATGACAAACAATTACAGTGAAGTCTCTCTCTTAACATTAATAATAAAAAATAAAAATGAAAACCACTTTTAGTATTATTTAACTCTTATCACAATCTAAATGATTCTAAAATAAGCTTTATTATTCAATGGTAGTGAATTTTGCTTGAAACTGCCATATTCATATATAAGTCTGGAATATTTATAAATTTATGCAATCTTTTTAAAGATCACTAAGACAGTAGAGCCCAAGAAGTTCAAAATAGTTTTCCTTTCACCTTTGAGTTTCACATATGGTGAATTATCCTAAAGAAATGTTTTAAAAGAAGAAAGCTAAATTATGAAAATAATGACCAGGTGTGGTGGCTCACGCCTGTAATCCCAGCACTTTTGGAGGCCGAGGCGGGTGGATCACCTGATGAACATGGTGAAAAATACAAAAATCAGCTGGGCATGGTGGCAAATGCCTATAATCCCAGCTACACGGGAGGCTGAGGCAGGACAATCGCTTGAACCCAGGAGACAGGGGTTTCATTGAGCTGAGATCGCACCATTAAACTCTAGTCTGGGTGACAAAGCGAGAATCCATCTGAAAAAAAAAAAGGAAATATTTATAACATCATTATTTGTATCAGTGAAGCATTGCCACCTGACAAAAGGAAAAAAAAGTTTAAAAGAAAAAAATCATATTTTAGAAAAATGACTATATAAATAAGATTATATATATACACATACATATATATATACACACACACACACATATATATATGTTGAATTACTATGTAGCAAAGACTTGGAACCAGCCCAAATGTCCCTCAGTGATAGACTGAATAAAGAAAATGTGGCACATACACATATGGAATACTATGCAGCCATAAAAAAAGATGAGCTCATGTTCTTTGCAGGGACATGGATGAAGCCGGAAGCCATCATTCTCAGCAAACTAACACGGGAACAGAAAAACAAACACTGCATGTTCTCACTCATAAGTGAGAGTTGAACAATGAGAACACATGGACACAGGGAGGGGAGCATCACACACTGGGGCCTGTCAGTGGGTGGAAGGCAAGGGGAGAGATAGCATTAGGACAAATACCGAATGCATGCGGGGCTTAAAACCTGGATGATGGGCTGATGGGTGCAGCAAACCACCATGGCACATGTATACCAGTGTAGCAAACCTGCACAATCTGCACGTATATCCCAGAACTTAAAGAATAATAAAAAAAATTTCAAGTTTGAAAAATTCATTTGAAATATTAAAATAATGTGATGATTTTAAGGAAAATGCATAATACCAAATGATATTTGCATGACAACATGAACTATGTTACATGTGTACATATATCCAAAGACTTCAGTTTCATTTAAAAAAGGGTTTTTTTTTGCTTTATTAGGGTAATGAGGTGACAGAAATTTTATCCTAACATATCTATAATATTATGATAATGTTTTATAAGAAAAACAAGAAAAAGTAAGTGTATGGTTCCAAACAAATTAACCTTGAAATTCTTTCATTATGAATTTCCTGTAAACTTTTCATCCACTTGATAAAAAGCTGATATTACAGAAACGTGTTTCACTTCTCGTGAGCACGTGCTTTTAATAGATTACACAAACGCAAAGGATTTCACAATCCTTTATCAGTACATTGACATTTAATAGGAAAAGTCACTTTATGTGAAGCTACTGTTTTTCCTAACTTTGGAACTGATATTAAAAGGCACACGTGAACAGTGTGAGTCGTTCACTGCCTGCTAATGAAGGCTCATGCATGTATGTATGTTCACGTTACTAAAAAATTACAATGATTATAGCCAGAGTAAGGAGCTGAAATAATGTGATAATTTTAATAATAAATGCTTTTGAAGCAAAGTGGCTTCACTGAGGGTAATATTTTTTGTTTCACTTTGCTAGTTACATGCAGTGCAGAGAGAAATATTTTATTTTCCAATGTGTAACAGAAGAATTTTTAAAATTCCCACTTTAGTGAACCACAAAGTTTTCTTGAGGCATAACCCAAGATATAAAATCCAGTCATCTTGAAAAAGATCCTGCCTTTCATTTCATTTATTAATGTAATTTTAAATACTGCATTATGTATGTAATGAGCACCTTCAGGAACTCTCTGATTCCTGAACCAAAGAGATCAAAACTCCATATCATGGATCTGGCTTGGATAAGAGAAGACACATGATAGATAAGACAAATAAGGAAAATATGTTTTGGGGGAAAGAAAATGAAGCCAGGATGGGGAAGACAAGGTCCCAAGGGGTTGTAGGTTGAAACTGGATGTTCAGGAACAGTCTACTTCCTTACTTGCTTTTTCTTTCTTCTTCTTTTTTTTTTTTTTTTGAGACAGTTTTATTCTTGTTGCCCAGGCTGGAATGCAGTGGCCTGATGTTGGCTCACTGCTACCTCTGCCTCCAAGGTTCAAGCGATTCTTCTGTCTCAGCCTCCTGAGTGGCTGGTATTACAGGTGCCCACCACCACACTCAGCTAATTTTTTGTATTTTTAGTAGAGACGGGGTTTCATCATGTTGGCCAGGATGATCTCAAACTCCTGACTTCAGGTGATCCACCCACCTCGGCCTCCCAAAGTGCAGAGATTACAGGTGGTCTGTTTTATTGAGTCAGACTTTAGTGAAGGCCTGAGTGAGACAAGAAGGCATTCACGGGCTTTGAGCATCGGAGTGACTCAACCTGCCTTACTTTTTAAGAGGATTCTTTTGGAAACTGTGTGGAGAATTAATTCAAGAGTATAAGAATGAAAGTCAGGGTGCTATTAACATCAACGCTCAATAGCTCATGCCTATAATCCCAGAAATTTGGGAGGCTGAAGTGGGAAGATTGCTTGAGGCTAAAGAGTTTGAGTTCAGCCTAGGCAACATAGCAAGACTGCATCTCTAGAAAAAAAATAAACAGGTAACTGAGCATGGTGTCATGCACCTGTAGACCCAGCTACTCAGGAGGCTGAGGCAGAAGAATCGCTTGAACCCAGAAGGTCAAGGTTGCAGTGATGTGATCACGTGGCTGCACTGCAGCCTGGACACGAGAGCAAGACCTTGTCTCAAAAAAAAAAAAACCAACAAATTGTCAAGGCAAAAAGGATGATGGGGCTTGGACAGGTTGCTAGCAAGGAAGTGACAAGAAGCCCTCAGTTTTTGCATAGTATTTGAAAACAAAGCAACAGGATCGGATGAGAGATGGGAAGTAGTGGATGAGAAAAGGCGAGGAACAAGGAAGACCTCTAGGTTTGGACCATGTTAGAATTCTAAGCAGAAATGTTGTTAGGCAGTGGCATATATGGGTCTGGGATTGAGAGGCGAGGTATGGGCAAGAGATACAGATCTAAGAGTCATCAGTCTTCCAGATTATATTTAAAGCAAAGAGGCTAGTGAGATCACCAAGGGAGTGAAAATAGAAAGAGAGAAAACAGAACAGAAACTGGGCCCTCGCTCACTCTGCTATTGAGATACTGGGGAGAAGAGGAGGAATATCCAGAAATAAATAAAACTCCCCTGGATGTGCTATCTCAGTGCAATCATCAGTATCTCTCTTCTCAACAGAAAACCATGAGCACGAACAACTTTCATTTATGCATTCAGGGACTTTCATTTTTATACATTTACTGCTGCCAATCTTGCAAGGTTTTATTTCTGCTTCTACCACACAGGAAAAAACAACTTAAATTCTATGTGGCAGGTTATGGATTTCTTGCAGGACGCGAACTTCTTTGTTCTTTTCCATGACCCTGACTGCTTCTTGTTTTTCTCCTGCAGTGTCAAAGAGTTCTTCCTTGTCTTTTGTACTGAGTCTTCTTCCTCTACTCGCCCATTGAATATCATGTTTTTCAAATTTATGTCTCTGGTGTTTTTTTTCTGAAAAAAAGGTATCTTCTACTGTTTGATTTTTTCCTCCTATTCTTTGTTAAAGTGCTATGGTTTAGATGCTATTAATTTGTCCTCTCTTTTAATGCCCTGGGATTTTCCTTCTAATTGTCTGCACCATTGCTGCTACCCAAGATGCCTGACTGGGGTAGATAAAAATAAGCTGAAGTCCAAAAACTGGAATAGAATGGAAGGAATGGATCCAAGGAAATCAGGAGTTTTTGTGCAATCAGATGTGGGTCTTATACATGAGAATGTTCTAGAAAATAAGCTCTGGCTTCAGATTTGAGTGACTGTGCTTTGCTGGCATATGCCTAACTGTATCATGTATTCTCCACTACATAGTAAGTAAATAATAATAATACATGGGTATCGTAATAAATAGATGATGTAAATGGATGATATACCCACAATGAAAATCCTGGAAAAATAAAAGGTAGGCTGCTATAGAAAATCCACCTTGTAGCTGGTTGTATTATGTAAAACAAAAGCTGATTCTGAGACTGAGATCTGTGTTGGCTCTATTCGCTCGATCAGCACACAGGCAGTAGTTCAAGCCATGGAAGCAGATGAGATTCTTGGAGAGACTGTACAGGCTAAGAAAAAAGGCAGTAACATCAGAAAATGCCACAAATCCTATGACTGCATTATCTCTGATGAACATGATCTTTTTTTTTTCTGGAAAATATATATACCAACATTTCATGCAGTTCATGATAAACCAATCGCTTTTGAACGCTGGCCCCAGAAAGCAAACAGACTTGCCAGGGTGCACAATTGTAGCGGTAGGGAATATTGTTCATTCCTCATTCCGCCGAGTATGCTTTAGTGCGCACCTCCCTTCTGGTCCACCACACTTGTCAGGGACATTTTATAAACCAAATATTGTCAGTTAGTCTAAACCACTCATAGACATGTACTAGAGAGTTTTCCTTTTTCAGAGTTTAAATAAATCTTCCCAGATTAACCACAGTTTAAAATACAGTAGTCCACAAAATGTTTATTATCACCTCTATATGCTAAAAAAAGATTAACCAAAGGTTAGAGACTTAAAGAAAAACAAAATCAAGCTTCATCTCTAGTTCAAAGTGAAAGGGAGAAAAGCAAAATGTTTAATAAAGAATATATATTGTGTCACTAATAATATTAATCCAGGTCACTACTGCCAAAGCAAAGAATACTTTTTTTTAAAACTTCATTTGTATGGATAGTGATTCAGTGTTATATTTTGGGTAGGTTGTGAAAGCCAGATCAATTTATGTGATCAGAAAAATAAAGGAAGAAATTGATGAGTCAGATGCTACCAGGTACTTGCCTCTCCAGCCTCTTCTTTTTGAACCTCCTTTGTACCTGTTTGGAGAAAAAGAATAAAGAGTGTACTACCAACCTAACCAAGGTTATTATAGTCTGGTTGTTTAAAATACCATTTTTTTCTCCTTTTGTCTTTTTCCCACTTTCCAAGGTACTCAAGAAAATTGAACAGATGTAATAGATCAAATTAAAACACTTTATTTCCTGAAAGCCTTTCTTGTCTATTGTGATGTGCACTACCCCTCTCCTTTCATGGGAGAGACAGGAAGTTACCTGAATCTAGGCTGAAAAGGTTATGTGAAAAGAAAGTATAATAAAAGGGACACTTGGCTTTTTAAATCTTTGTTTTCTCTTAACCTAGGTAAGGCATATTAGAAATAAATATGTAAAGGAGAAAACTAAATGTTGTCTTTATGAAAAATTAAAACTGCTTGCAGTTCCATGTTGTTCATACCTTCATGCTTTTTAACATGATATTTTCCATCCTGGAATGACCGTACCCCAGATTCTGCTCATTTTCAAAACCCTGATTCATTGTCATCTTTTCTGTATTCCTACCTTGATTACCCACTTCCCCAAAAGAGATAATCACTCCCTTTTGTACTATGCCTGTGCCTTTTATATATATAAAAAATATATAATAATTATGTTATATTAAATATATATTATATAATAATATAAATATATGATATGTTGCCAATTATATGATATATAAAATATATATATTTGCCAATATATACTATATTAACATAATATAAATTACATATAATTATACATATTATGTATTTATATTATATAATATATAATTGGCAAATATATAGTATTATATATCATATAATTGGCAAATATATAATATATGTTATATTAATATAATATATTTACTATAGCATATATTTTATAACATTTATGTATTATATATTTGTGAATTATATAATATATTGTATATTAACATGTAATATAAATTATATGTTATATAATTTATATATAAATATGTATTATATGTTATAAATGTAATTATATATAATGAATATTTATATAGTTATTCATATATTTATATATTCTATTTATTCAGTATGTTGTATTTATTCAGTATATTCAATATTCAGTATATTCTATGTTCCGGGTTGCTTTAGACTCTAGTGACATAATGTGGACAAAATCAGGCATGGTCCCTACTCATTCAGAGTTCACAGTGTAAAGATATTTATCAGATCCTAAGGCTTCAGCTTTTTTCACAAACGTTATTACCTGGTAGATAGAATAATGTGAGATGTTTCTTTTGCATTTCAGTAAAAATGGAGCCAGAATATCTCAAATGCGAGGATCAAAGCCATAATCAAACATGTGGAGAAGGAGCCAGTAGGTAGCCTAAAAGGAAACCATTTCTGGTTATAGACACGCACTAAGTAATAATGTTTCAGTCAACACAGGACCATATATATGATGGTGGCCCCATAAGATTATAATGGAGCTGAAAAATTCTATCACCTATTGACCTCACAGCTGTTCTAAGGGAATAGCACACTGCATTACTCACATATTTGTGGTTATGCTGATGTAAACAAGCCTACTGCTCTGCCAGTCATTTAAAAGTATAGCACCTACAGTTACGTAAGTATGTAATACTTGATAACAAATGTTAATGGTTTGTGTATTTACCACATTACACTTTTTAATCATTATTTTAGTGTGCACTCTTCCTACCGTAAAAGCACTCTTCAACCGTAAAACAGCCTCAGGCAGGTCCTTTAGGAGGTCTTCTGGAAGAACACATTGATATCATAGGAGATGACAGCTCCATGCCTGTTATTGTTTCTGAAGATCTTTCAGTGGGAGAAGATATGGAGGGAAAGACAGTGCCATTGATGAGCCTGACCCTGTGTAGGCCTAGGCTAATGTGTGTGTTTGTGTCTTAGTTATCAACAAAAAAAGTTAAAGAAGTAGAAACATTAAAAAAATAAAGGTTAAAATAGCTTATAGGATAAAGCAGTTTAGAAAGAAAATATTTGTGTACAGCTATACAATTTATGGTTTAAGCTAAGTGTTATTACAAAAGAGCCAAAAAGTTGTTTTTAAAAAGTTTATAAAGTATAAATGGTACTGTAAACTACGGCTAATTTATTAATGAAGAAATAAAATTGTTTATACATTTAGTGTAGCTGAAGTGTGCAATGTTTATAAAGTCTACAGTGTTTCACATTCACTCACCACTCACTCACCCAAAGCACCTTCCAGTCCTGCAAGTTTCATTTATCCTAATTGCCCTGTAGAGGTGCACAACTTTGTATCTTTTATACCATATTTTGACTGCATTTCTCTACGTGTAGATATGTTAGAAACACACATACTTCCCATCGTGTTCCAACCTGCCTACAGGATTCAGCACAGTATAACATGCTGTATAGGTGTGTAACCTAGGAGCAATAGGCCAGACCATCTAGGTTTGTGTAAGTGCACTCTATGATGTTCATACAGCAATGAAATTGACTAGCAATGCATTTCTCAGAATGTACCTTTGTCCTTAAGTGACACGTCTGTACATACCAGGTATACATGAACACAATTTTTGCGAATCCATCTCTTACAAACTGAGTTCAAAGTTAAAAAGCATTAGTACATAGTTCCAATTGCCTTAAACTATAGGGTTTTCTTTCTTCAACTTTTTAAAAATTATATTTTAAGTTCTGGGATACATGTGCAGAATGTGCAGGTTTGTTACATAGGTATACACATGCCATGGTGGTTTGCTGCACCCATCAACCCATCATTTACATTAGGTGTTTCTCTTAATGCTACCCATCCCTTTGCCTCCCACCCGCTGACAGGCCCTAGTGTGTGATGTTCCCCTCCCTGGGTCCATGTTTTCTCATTGTTCAGCTCCCACTTATGAGTGAGAACATGTGATGTTTTGTTTTCTGTTCCTGTGTTAGTTTGCTGAGAATTATGGTTTCCAGCTTCATGCATGTCCCTGCAAAGGACATGAACTCAGTCATTTTTATGGTTGCATAGTATTCCATGGTGTATATGTGCCACATTTTCTTTATCCAGTCTATCATTGATGGGCATTTGGATTGGTTCCAAGAATGGCGATCATTAGAAAGTCAAGAAACAACAGATGCTGGAGAGGATATGGAGAAATAGGAACGCTTTTACACTGTCGGTGGGAGTGTAAATTAGTTCAATCATTGTGGAAGACAGTGTGACGGTTCCTCAAGGATTTAGAACCAGAAATACCATTTGACCCAGCAATCGCATTACTGGGTATATACCCAAAGGATTATAAATCATTCAACTATAGTTTTAAAGTGAATTTTGCTAAGTTTTATTGTCACCTCAGTTTTTTAAAATTATTTGGATTTTTTGTTCATTTGTTTTGCTTGGTGAGTAAAACTGCTATTTAAATCTAATAGGGTAAATTTAAAGGGAGGAAATAGAGAGGAGTGTGAATCTAAATAATCCAGTTTGGCTTCTTACAGTAGTTTATTTTCCCAGATAATTGTTTATTTATTTTGCTTTGCCTCTCCCTGAGAAAGGAGATTTGGGTTCTGTGCCTACCTCCCTTCACTCCCTTCTGCCACAGTGGTCATATCCATTAAAGAACATAGTCCTTGGTCAGATCAACATAGGATTCATGAAAACCAACTCTCAGAAAGGAGGAATATGCAAAGATTGTCATTGCAAACTGCCAAATAAAGAATATCCTTAGTGATGTTTTCAAAATATATTGACAGGAGTTGAGTCATATCCTTACATGTCACTGCCTCTCCCCACAGTGGGATGAACACTTGCATCTGAATGATCGCCTTTCATTTCCTGGGCTGGATTTGAGTTTGCTGTCCTGACGCTGCCGGTGCACTCAGTTAGAACTGTGCTGTGCTAAGTCCATTACTCAGCATTCAAGAAAATAAGAAATGATCAGAAGATGTTGGCTTTAGGCTAAATCTGTCAATCACATGAACTAAACTGTGTCCAACAAAAGAAGTCATATAATGTCTTTTTATGGAAAAGATTCTTAAAATGTGGTCCTCAGACCAATTGCATCACCTCTTGAGAATTTGTTGGAATTGTAAATTCTTGAGCCCTCACCCCAAATATCAGAAACTCTGGGGATGAGGCCCATCAGTCTCTTGTTATCAAACCTTTCCAATGTTTCTGATACATGTTAAAGAGACACAGGAACATTTTTGTTGTTGTTGTTAAGGTACTTAGTATGCACATAAAATTTAGATTATGCTGAAAAAGGTACAAGGACATATTTGTATGGCTGCCAATGTAAAATGAGAAAAGGCCTGGAAAGTGAAAGAGAGAGAGAGAAGAGAGAGAGAGAAAGGAAAGAGAGGGGAGAGGAGAGGGAGAAAGGGAGAGAGACAGAGAGGAAGAGAGAGACTGGGTACTATGGCTCACACCTGTAATCTCAGCACTGTGGGAGGTTGACTTGAGGTCAGGAGTTCAAGATCAGCCCGGCCAACATGGTAGCAGAGAGCTGAAATTGTACCACTGCACTCCAGCCTGGGCAACAGAGTGAGACTCCATCTCAAAACAAACAAACAAACAAATAAATACTTTTTTTTGAGACAGAGTTTCTCTCTTCTTGCCCAGGCTGGAGTACAATGGCACAATCTCGGCTCACTGGAAGCTCTGCCTCCCGAGTACAAGCGATTTTCCTGCCTCAGCCTCCCGAATAGCTGGGATTACAGGTGCCTGCCACCACACCTGGCTAGTTTTTTTGTATTTTTAGTGGAGATGGGGTTTCACCACATTGGCCAGGCTGGTCTCGAACTCCTGACTTCAGGAGATTCACCCGCTTCAGCCTCCCAAAGTGCTGGGATTACAGGTGTGAGCCGCTGTGCCCGGCCAATAAATAATTTTTTTAAACAGCCAGGAAATATGTATTTTTTCCAAATATGCAAAACTGTTTGTTCTAAGGGAAATTGTTTTTTCAGTGAATAGAGTAATTAAAATAATACTAAGGAAATTCCTTATTTTGCAGTTTGCAATGACAATTTGTGTGTACATCATTTCTGAGAATTAGTTTTCCTGAATCCTTTTTTTTTTTTTTTTTTTAGGTTATATGTGCATAACGTACAAGTCTGTTACATATGTATACATGTGCCATGTTGGTGTGCTGTACCCATTAACTCGTCATTTACATTAGGTATATCTCCTAATGCTAATCTTCCCCACTCCTCCCACCCTATGACAGGCCACAGTGTGTGATGTTCCCTATCCTGTGTCTAACTGTTCTCATTGTTCAGTTCCCACCTGTGAGTGAGAACATGCAGTGTTTGGTTTTCTGTCCTTGCGATAGTTTGCTCAGAATGATGGTTTCCAGCTTCATCCATGTCCCTACAAAGGACACGAACTCATCCTTTTTTATGGCTGCATAGTATTCCATGGGGTATATGTGCCACATTTTCTTAATCCAGTCTATCACTGATGGACATTTGGATTGGTTCCAAGTCTTTGCTATTGTGAGTAGTTCCACAATAAACATACGTGTGCAAGTGTCTTTATAGCAGCATGATTTATAATCCTTTGGGTATATACCCAGTAATGAGATGTTTGGGTCAAATGGTATTTCTAGTTCTAGATCCTTGAGGAGTCACCACACTGTCTTCCACAATGGTTGAACTAGTTTACAATCCCACCAACAGTGTAAAAGCATTCCTATTTCTCCACATCCTCTCCAGCACCTGTTGCTTCCTGAATTTTTAACGATCTCCATTCTAACTGGAGTGAGATGGTATCTCATTGTGGTTTTGATTTGCATTTCTCTGATGACCAGTGATGATGTGCCCATCTGACAAAGGGCTAATATCCAGAATCTACAAGGAACTTAAACAAATTTACAAGAAAAAAAATCAAACAACCCCATTAAAAAGTGGGTGAAGGATATGAACAGACACTTCTCAAAAGAAGACATTTATGCAGCCAACAGACACATGAAAAAATGCTCACCATCACTGGTTTTCCTGAATCCTATGTTGGTATGGACAAGGACTATGATCTCTAATGGATTTAAACACTGTGGAGGAAGAGGATGGAGGAAGGCAGGCATAGTGCTCAAATCCTCTCTTTTCTCAGGTAGAGGCAAATTAAAATAATTATCTGGGAAAATTGACTTTTGTGAGAAGTGAAATCAGGTTATTCAGATCCAGACGTTTCTTTTGTTTCCTTCCTTTTACCCTATTAAATTACTGATTAAATCATTTTACAAGTTATTTTCTGTCACTTGTAAAAAATTTTTCAGCTAAGAAAGAAGAGCTACCTCTTTTCCCACACTCAATAAACACACCTCTAAAAATAGAGATACACATTTGCACACAGAAAGATACATGAGAGGGTTCCACTTACATCTGTCTTTTTACATGCAAGTTAAAACTTATGGGTAACTTTAATATATTGCTGTATATGATAGATATACAAATTTAACAAAACATGGTTTTTTGCTAAAGTTAAATGTTATTTATTATAGATTGTGTCACAGAATGTAGATTCCATTTCAAACTGAAATTTCAGTTTAAAACACTATGCAAAAGAGCCCTAGCCATTTCATGTGGAATTAATATATTTTTCCATTTGTTTCACAGAAGTATGGAGCAGTGGGATCCCTTTCGTGATCAACAGGAGGACGTTGATAGCTGCTCTGAATCTGTGAAATTTGACGCTCGCTCAATGACAGCTTTGCTTCCTCCTAGTAAGTGGAGGGGGATGGGCTGCCCATGGAGGTCATTCTTAGAGTTATTGACAATATATAAAATTATAGTCTTGAGACTTACCTTAAATGTATATGGATGTTAAAATAACACTTATTTGACAAATAGGGGTGTTCTTGAGACAGAATAAAAATAAGCTTAAATAAAAGTAAGGCAGTATTATATGAAATTAAATTAATCTACAACACTGATTGAGCCTTCTGACTTCCCAGCTATAATTAGGTCCTGGAGATAAATATGATCCTAGCACCGTGAACTAATATTTGAAAATAATGGGTAGTAGGTGCCTGTATTTGTTTTCTAGAGTTGTTGTAACAAATGGCTGCAAACTGGGAGGCTTAAAACAACAGAAATTTATTCACTCACAGTTCTGAGACCCAGAAGTCTAAAATGCAGGTGTCAGACCATGTGTCTTTTTGAAGACTCTAGGGAAGAATCTTCCTGTGTCTCCTCCCAGCTTCTAGGGGCTCCTGGTAGTCCTTAGTGTTCCTTGCCTTTGTAACTGCACCACTCTCATCTCTCCCTCCTTCTTCATGTGGTCTTCTCTGTGTAGACATTTGTTCTTTTCTTACAAAGACATCAGTCTTTAGATTAGGGTTCACCCTAATCCAGTATCACTTCATTTTAACTTGATTACATCTCCAAAGACCCTATTTCCAAATAAACTCACTTTCACAGGTACCTGTGGTGAAAACTTCGACATATCTTTTGCGGGCACACAATTCAACCCCGTATAGCAGTGGTGAAACACGTTTGCACAGGTTATGACAACAGCTCAAAAATAGCAATACTCAGCTGTATCTCAACAGGATCATTTAAGGTGTCAGGAGGAGTTACTTATAATTCTGCTAAACCTAAAAGTATAAATACATATCGCTAAGGGGATGGGTGGAGGCGGAAAAGACAGAGAAGACATTTCAGTGTGAAGAAGCAGCATATACAAAGTTAAAGGCTCATATATGAGTTCTTGCATAGCAAACCTGAAATACAGGCCTCAACTCCAGGGTGACAGTGGATCTTGTGCTCTGTGTAAAGGATGGATGGGAGGATGTGCACCATCGAGACACATACAAGTAAAGATAATAGTGAGGGCTGTTACGCACAGAAATAATGAGTGTTTGAAGAAGGAGGAGAGAGTCATTGGGAGCAGAGAAAAAGCAATCGAAATGTTTGAGAGCTATTTAAAAGGTAGAATTTACATTTGTGATGATAATTTAGAGATGAAGAAAATGACTCCTACTTTTCAGGCTTAATCAACCTGGCGGGTGGACCATACCTCAACTTGCTTCTATTATGGGTTCTTTTTCTTTTTTCCTTCAATCTTTTCTTTCCTTTCCTTTTCTGTCTTGTCTTTTTTTTTTTTTTTTTTCTTTTTGAGACAGGATCTCACTTTTTCGCCTAGGCTGGAGTGCAGTGGTGTGATAACAGCCTGTTGCAGCCTCAATCTCTCGGGCTCAAGCAATTCTCCCACCTCAGCCTCCTAAGTAGCTTGGATTACAGGGACATGCTACCACGACTGGCTACTTTTTATATTTCTTGTAGAGACAGGGTTTCTCCACATGGCCCAGGCTGGTCTCAAACTCCTAGGCTCAAGCCATCCTCCCGCCTCGGCCTCCCAAAGTGCTGGGATTACAGGCTTGAGCCACTGCATCCAGCTCTTTTCTCTTCTTTACTTTTTAAAAACTTTCTTGGCCGGGCACAGTGGCTCAGGCCTGTAATCCCAACACTTTGGGAGGCCTAGGTGGGCAGATCACCAGATCTGGAGATCCAGACCATCCTGGCTAACACAGTGAAACCCCGACTCCACTAAAAATACAAAAACTTAGCCTGGCGAGGTGGCGGGTGCCTGTAGTCCCAGCTACTCCGGAGGCTGAGGCAGGAGAATGGCGTGAACCCGGGAGGCAGAGCTTGCAGTGAGCCGAGATCAGGCCACTGCACTCCAGCCTGGGCGACAGAGCGAGACTACGTCTCAAAAAAAAAAAAAAAAGTTCTTTTTTTTTCAATACCTTAACCTTGTTTGTTGCAACCTGAAAGTAAAATTTACTTTTTTTCTTAATTGATCAATGAAAGCAATGACCATAGAAAATAAATTTTTAATGACCATTGTATTCACCTAATCAAAGAAAGGACTTCCTCATCTACTATTTCCCCTCTATATTGATTTGTCTCTACTACAATTAATATCCCATTATATAAATCACAGTGCCATATAAGTGCATACGAATAAAAGGTTGCTGTTATTAATATGTTCTGAAATATAGAGAAGGTGGGCTTCATTGATCCATTCTAAAGATTAGTCAAAATGTGAATCACTTGGTTTATTTCATTTTTCTTAAATATTGTTTACATTGTATTCAAATGATAAGAGGTATCCAAATACAAAACTACTGAGAAGGAATTGGACAATAAAATTATTTTAACATTGTAGTCATTGAAAATAAATATTTCCCTTATCTGATTTTAAAATATTAAAAATTACATAGTTACTTTAGAAAATTTTACTGTCATCCAGAATATCTTCCCATGTGAACACCGAATAAAATTTATGTTTGTATATGTAAGTGTCAATATTCAAATTTACCAACTGATTCCAAAAAATCAGACAAGCACAACTTGTAGAGCATGGTAACTTTCTTGTGGATATTTAGTGAGTGGATAAGTCAATCAAGGGTCTATAATAATACCTGGATTGGCTTTTCCTGTGACTGTCCCTTTGCTTTCTACTGCATAAATGTGGACCATTTTTTCTTGTTTTTTATTCCAATAGGCTTGGTAGTAACAATGTAATTGGAGATTAAAACAATTTTAATTATGGAAGACGATAACACTTTCTAACAGTAGGCTGGGCTTTTTTGTTTTATTAGATCCTAAAAACAGCCCTCCCCTTCAAGAGAAACTGAAGTCCTTCAAAGCTGCACTGATTGCCCTTTACCTCCTTGTGTTTGCAGTTCTCATCCCTCTCATTGGAATAGTGGCAGGTAACGTAATCCAGAGTTCTGAAATTTAGTAACTCATCCCGTGAATTATTCATTGCCACAGCGAAAAAGAAGCATTCAGTCATTTATATATGGTACATTCATAAAGAAAACACTATATTACAAAGAGTCCTTCAAATTTATTAAATTAAAAAACAGATTCTGCAAAGTTAAGTAGAAAGAATAGTTTTTAAATTGGAAAAAACAAAATAGAATGAAAATAAGAAGTGCAAGATAAAAATACAGATTTGTAAAAGTAAAATGAAAAGGACTAAACTCTTTCAAAAATATATTATCCTCTGGAGTCCTCTCTTTCTAATGTGGGTGACAAATTTCGAAAGTATTTGTTTTACCAATGTGAAGAAATAACGTGATCATTTACATTAACAATGGCTGTAATATAACAAACAAACCTGTTGTCCAGGAGAAGCTCTTCTATTCTTAGTACTGAGAGTAGAAAAAATATTTCTGTCAGTTTTTAAAGAGAGGAGACCTTGTAGAATAATGGCATACAACTTAGTGAAATCCAGTTTATATGACCATACTTTTCACAGGGATATTATTTAAAATATCTCTAAAAATAACCTGGTAGCATCCTCTCAAAGAAAAAATATAGAACGTGTTACTTGGGCTCAAAATGATGTTCTTGAGGTACATATTTCTTTGGAGAGGCTGACTTGAACTGGAGTTAGATTTGACTGTTTCTACAAGGGTAGATAGCTTGTATACACCTTAAGCACATATGTAAATATTATTCCCCTTGTAGCATTTTGGATGGATTTGGTGTATTTTGATCGGCATTTGAATTTATATGCCTTATAGCTCTCCTCTTCCCTATATGACTGATAAAATGTCTGCCCATATGCTCTAATAAGAGATATGCGGGGAATAAGATACATTTTTATGTGCATACTAAGCAGCTTAACAACAACAACAAAAAAGTTTCTAAAGACCAGGCCAAACTTCCTCTGCTACAGGGCAGTCTAAGGAAGTATTCCAAGACAGAGCAAAAATTTCACTAAGAAAGAAATGATAAAAACAATAATATACCCTTACAATTAACCTCTGTATAGATACTGTAATTATTCTCATTATCTACATAAGAAAATTCAGACAGCTCAGTATTGGAGCTGGAGTTCCCATCCAAGACTTCTGAACCCTAACCTCTGGTCTATTGTCTCCCAGTTTAATTAAGTTTTTATAAAACAATATGGTTGGCCAACAAAAAACAAAAAAGTCACCTCAAGAAAATATTTCCCACAGGTAACAATTAACTTCTTTTTGACCATTAAAAATGAACTAAAACAAAAATCCAACCATAACAACCAAACCAACCAACCAAACTATTGTTGTCTGAGTAAAAGGGCATGTTAATGTTTGGCATTAAACAGTCAATTTCCTCATAATCAAGGTTATCTGTATGTTTGTTTATGTCTATGCTTATGTGTAATTTGAAATGCTTAACTAAAGGATGCTTCATTGTTGGGATTATTGCCTATAAGCCAATTAGAATTTGAGTACATTTCATCACTTTTATGCAAATCACTGCCTGCAGAGCCAAGACCAGGGACTGCAGCTTCTGATAGGCTCATGCAGAATGCAGACAGGAGTCGGAAAATAATTCAAGGTTCTAACCAAGTTCAAAGTCCCTGAGCTATTAGAAAATACTACCAAGTCAACAGATTTTTTCTGGAGTTTACAACAATTGAACTAGTCTGTTTACTAAAACTACAATAGGTACCTACTAAAATTGACTAGATGCTAAGAATGTTCAAATTTTATAAGTTCACATCAGTACAGGATTCACCAGAATTTGGAAAAGGCTTCACTATGTTTATTATGTATTAATAAGAAATAATTGACAATCCACTTACAACTTTAATTAAGTTGTAGATCAGTACATTTTTCTAAAAGAAACGGAAAAGCAATATATATCTCTACTGGCATAAAAAATTACAAATGTAGACAAAATAAATCCCTAAAATGATAGAAGTTTGGCAACTATGAATTGATGGGTGAAATAGAATATTATATATAAAACTCTAAATATGAAGTGAATTATATATTGAGGGTTATTTTCTTAATTATAAGATTTATTCCATTTACAACCTTTCCTTAAAGAAGCTGCTGAAACACTATCAGTGTGACAACATAATACTGTGTCAGAACAATAAGGAAAAATCAAGAATTTAGGTTTATATATGTATAAATTGTTACTGAAATACTAAAAATTCTTTAGCTGAAAACAATATCCATTGGGGGTAGGAAAAGATAATTCCAATATGAAAGAGTAGGTATGATCTATAGAATCAAATATAACCCTGTCCTTAGGTTTTTGCACAGACCATAAAATTCTGTCTCCTTTCATATGTGAAACAGAAAAGTCACAAAATGCCATCTCTCCAATAAAAATAAGTGAACTTTTGAAATATAAACCCTGGCATTCTTTACCTAGATATACGACAAAAAGTTAACATTTTAATGAACAATTAGTTTTCACTCAGGGTTTGATGAAACAGGCAATTTGTGTTTTTAGATCTGTTAATAAAATGTAGCATTTACTGTCAACTCATGTTTAACTTGTTGTCAAATTAAAAATAGTTGGTCATGTGACCTTAGTCAAATTGGGGCTTCTCTTTCCATATTGTGAAAAATATTAGCTTTACTGATAAATCTTATTTCCAATGAAAGTAAAACTATATGGCTGAGTAATAAGGGCAATGTGCATAGTAAAATAAAGCATAGAGATAACTGTGTTCATGGTAACATCCAACTCCAGAAAAATATTTTTATCACAACAATGCTAATTCCCCATAGTCAATCAATATTGGGCATATAGGTACTTGAATCACACATCTTGAATCGAAATATTAATAATAGCAAAAATCTGAAACTTATGAAATGCTTATTACATGCCAGGAAGTCGTCTAAGTATTTTACATATAGTTCATTTAATTATTTGGACACTGACTGTTAGTACCCCATTTACACAGATGGTGAAATAGAGGCAATGACAGATTAAGTAACTTGTCCAATGCCATAGTTTTTAAAGTGCAGAGCCAGAATTGCTAATCTAGGCAGTTCTGTTCTAGAATCTAAATTCTTAACTGCTACTTCAAAAGAAATAATAATCAAAAAAGGACAATGCTAGAGGAAAATTTTCAAGTAATTTTGAAAAAAATGTTTATTTGGGCTTCTGATTGTTACAGTCAAATTCCATTCCTGATTGTTCTTTTATTCCCAGAGTTACTCAAGCAGTGCTTTCCGCATAGTATATAATAATTAAATCATAGAATTAACGAATGCATGGACGAGGCTGTCAACCCAAAACTTGCTCCCCACAATGAATTTAGTAAATGTGATGAAATACAGTTAAGAAATACACTTTTATTTCCAAGCTATTGATACGTTAAGAAATACAGAATAACATACTCAATACAAATTCTATTGTAGATCACATCAAAATATTGTCACACACATTTTGTTATTTCAGATAAGCTAATATTAAATTAATAAAACCAGGAAAAATATGGTATCATATATTTTTTGAAATTAGAATTTAATTACATATTTAGGATGACACTCTTAATGTAATAATAGCTACAGTAGTAATGCTCATCAAACAGCTTCTTCTTTTTTTTTTTTTTTTTGAGACGGAGTCTAGCTCTGTCAGCCAGGCTGGAGTGCAGTGACAGGATCTCGGCTCACTGCAACCTCCACCTCCCAGGCTCAAGCAGTTCTCCTGCCTCAGCATCTAGAGTAGATGGGATTATAGGTGTGTGCCACCACGCCCAGCTAATTTTTACATTCTTAGTAGAGACGGGATTTCACCATGTTCGCCAGGCTAGTCTCGAACTCCTGACCTCAGGTGATCCAACCACAGCCTCTTTAATCAAAGGTAGTAAATACGGTGGATATAACTGATAGATAGTATCTCTCATTTATAAGGCACTGTAGAGGAATAGATATGCCTGTTTCATTTGTGCTCAGCACCATTGTTGAGGTAATTGTTACTTTTACAAATTGAGAAAACCAAAGCAAGGAGAGGGATAAGTAACTTGTTCGGAGTAGCCTAGTGGGTAACGGAGTAGTGTAGGAAGATTCTAGAATCAGGGAACTAGATTCTGTGTAAACACCAAGCTCTCATTTATGAAACAAAACCCTTGAGTTAGGGGTAGAACTAAATGTTTTTCTTGTGTTGTTTAATTCTCAAAAATCTATAAAAATTGTACTGTCATCATATCACTTTTATTAAGAAAATTGATAGACTCAGGTGGAGCTGCATATATTTTTTAGCAATATGAAATTATTCTTTTTATTGTTCCATAATTGTCAAATGTGGAAAATCTTATACATCCAATCTAATATGAATATGAGTAACATACATGTCAGTAAAAGGTATAAACAGATACATATATAGAAATACAGGAAAACAGAAAACCTCAACCATCACTGAATAGTGATAAGATTGTGTTTAACATTTTCCTCATTGTCTATAATTAAGAATTTGTTTTGTTTTGAGATGGAATCTCGCTCTGTTGCCCAGGCTGGAGTACAGTGGCATGATCTCAGCTCACTGCAACCTCTGCCTCCCAGGTTCAAACGATTCTCCTGCCTCAGCCTCCTGAGTACATGGGACTGTAGGTGCCCGCCACCACGCCCAGCTAATTTTTGTATTTTTAATAGAGACAGGGTTTCATCATGTTGGCCAGGATGGTCTTGATCTCCTGACCTCGTGATCCACCTGCTTCAGTCTCCCAAAGTGCTGGGATTATAGGCATAAGCCAATGCACCCCGCCTGTTTTTGTATAAAAAGTTAATGTTTATGCCTTTTATTTTTTGAAACTATAAAACATATTGCTTTAGATTATTTCAGAATGATAATTAACTTGTTTAGAGAACACATGCCCATTTGGGGATATCTATCAGCAACTCGCTATGTTCCTAAAATACTGTTTTGGAATGCAATTTTTTTAATTTGGTAAATAATTAATCACAAGATTGTTCATCAAAACATTGACTATATTACTGAAAACAGAGGCAAACTAAATGCAGCTGTTTTCTAAAATAAATCTGGCAGATCCATGCATATAATACGATGGAGTTTCTTAAATTATTTTTGTAGAACAATATTAAATATTAATAATAGGAAAAAGTACTTATGATAGAGCATTACATTAAAAAGTGGTGTCCAGATTATTTTAAAATGTCACATTTTAAGATTAATAATATGATAAGGTTTGAGATATATACACCAAAATCCTAGAGTTTAAGCTAGGATGAGAGATTCATGGTAAATTGTTTTTTCATATGATCTATATTTTCTAAATTTTCTGCTGTGAATATATATTTTATAATAGTTAAAAAGGAGTGTTATGAGAATAGTACCTTTATAAAGAGAAAAAAAAGTATTTGCCCAACTTCCTGCTCTACCAACTGTGAATTAGGTCTGTGTTAACTGAAAATGACACTTTTCTGGCAGCTCAAGTGAAAGAATGAAGATAAACCAACAATTTATCCATACTGTTCATGATACCAGTATTTTACCACATGTTGCTTTTGTCATCCTCATGATCATCATTATCATTGTTAACTTATTCAACATGCTTACTTCAGAAACTGGATTAAGCATTAGTTCACTTTATTCTAACAACAGTTCTGTAGATACATTGCCTTTCATAATCTATAGAATTGTTTTGAATTGGCAAAACCAAAATCAGTGGCCAAGAAGATTCGTATAAGCAGCAATTCAGAAAGCATGATATAATCCTGGAATCATCTTAACATAAAATGGGAAAGGGAGAATGTGTACTTCTCAGCAATATACTTAGCGTAGTTCACACATTGTAGATGAAAAGTGAATACTTGATTTACGGTAGCATTCAAAATGTTGGAATGGAATGGAATAAAACGAACGGAAGGGAATGATATGGGATGGGATAGTGTGTGCATTTAAGGATCAGACCATGACTGGTTTATTTTTACTTAAATATACAGCTCAGTTTCTGAAGTGGGAAACGAAAAATTGCTCCGTTGGTTCTACTAATGCAGACGATATAACTCAAAGTCTCACAGGAAAAGGAAATGACAGTGAAGCGGAAACGAGATTTCAAGAAGTCTTTATGGAACACATGAGCAACATGGAGAAGAGAATCCAGCACATTTCAGACATGGAAGCCAATCTCATAGATGCAGAGCATTTCCAAAACTTCAGCATGACAACTGATCAAAGATTTAATGACATTCTTCTCCAGCTAAGTACCTTGTTTTCCTCAGTCCAGGGACATGGGAATACAATAGATGAAATCTCCAAGTCCTTAATAAGTTTGAATACCACACTGCTTGATTTGCAGCTCAACATAGAAAAGCTGAATGGCAAAATCCAAGAGAACACCTTCAAACAACAAGAGGTAAGAGTTTGTGACGGCAAGGTCACGTGCTGGCACTGAATCTATCCAAGTCTCTTCTCCTTAGGCGGTACAGGAAAGCAAAAGTTGCAAACCCTGTTTCATTATCCTGTTTACCCTGATTTCTGTGGTGAACTTATCAAAAGATTTTAAATGAATGTTAAGGGATTTAAAATGGATTAGCTGTCTCCAAACTCTTAGAAAAAGGGGGAAATTTTCCCATTGACTATAGACTCCCTTTACATATTTTATAAATACTGTTAAAATGTCTTTTTAGACTGCCTAAACCGATCATAATTTTTAGAATATCTTAGCAGATCTTGGGGCATGAACACTCTGTATGTGTGAATTTTGCAACAGACCCATTTGATGTGCTTAGATTTTTTTGACTTGTAAGTTTCACTCAGAACTTTTGAACTTGTACGTGGTCCTCAACTTAAGGTGTCAGAAGACAATGGTATTACAGTTTGTGTATGGGGAGTCTGTTGGTGAACCTCATCCCAATGCCTTGATATTCCGTTTCTATTCCATGTCACTTCTAAAATCTATCAGTGTTTCCTACATTGTTAATAAGTTAGTATATCAAAGAGTATTGGGATATTAAAGTCTTGGGCTATCAAAAGATTAGAGAAAGTGTACAAAGAAGAAACTGTCCATAGTTTTGATGATACAAAAAAGAGAGGAAGCTAAAATGTTAGTTATCGGGATAGACATTGATTAAGTTGGGGGGAAAGAAGAGTGGAGAAGAAATACTATTGATGTAAAAATAGGGTCAGAAGAGCACTGAGATGAGGTAAGGAGAGAGGGAAGCTGGATGAGATGGAAAAAGAAGGATACATTCGATTCTGGCAGTGCATTAATTCCTGGAGGACCATGGAGTGCTTTTGTTTGTTTCTTTGTTTTTGAGATGGAATCTCACTCTGTTGCCCAGGCTGAAGTGCAACGGCATGATCTTGGCTCACTGCAACCTCTGCCTCCCAGGTTCAAGTGATTCTCGTGCCTCAACATCCCATGTAGCTGGGATCAAAGGCACGTGCCACCACATCTGGCTAATTTTTGTATTTTTAGTAGAGATGGGGTTTGTACCATGTTGGTCAGGCTGGTCTCAAACTCCTAGCCTCAGGTGATCTACCCATCTTGGCTTTCCAAAGTGCTGGGATTACAGGCATGAGCCACAGTGTCTGGCTGACTGTGGTATGCTTTTGAACCCACATATGTGAGAAATTGAAAGCAAATTGGAAACCATTTGGACGTTGGTAGAAATTTTGAACCTGTTTGAAGTGATAGTTAATGGAAACAATCAAAATCTGGTGATCAGTGAGCTGTTCAAGTTTGCGTAGACACGTTTTGGAGGAAATTCCAGCATTAGAAAAGGAAATACAAGGGAATGGTGAAACTTTGAAACCTATATACATCTTTAGAAACAGTAGTCACTCACAGAGACTTAGGAACTAGGTCAGTGCCAGTGTGTGTGTGTGTGTGTGTGTGTGTGTGTGTACTCCTGTGTACACTGAAAAACAATGTTGGGACTCTCATCCCCATTGCTTGAATAATTTTATTGATCTTTGAATGTTTAGCTCAATGTAGGAATAAATTAAATGAATGCCTGAATTTGTAAATGTCGTTTGAGGAAATGGCTTATAAGTGACACCAGCATAACACTTATTAAGGACACACCAAACATTAATTTGAAAGAAAAAGGAAGAACATTGGCAGCAAATGAAAAACAGGGGTGGCATCTATCATCTCCATCGATAGAGGTCAAAAGGGCTGTATGACTACAAAATTAAATGCCTGTTTCTAGGAGGGTGACTGGTGGTAGCGTGTGGAGGGAGTGCATGGATGCTGTATAGGATTTTTTGAAATTAAACACACTTTTCCTCCTCCCAGGGAAAATAATTTCCAGTGAAATTTGACAAATGTAAGCACCATATGCAGTTTTCAAAGAAGGGAATAAGAAGGTAGCCTCACCGGCTGGCCGCAGTGCTTCACGCCTGTAATCTCAGCAGTTTGGGAGGCTAAGGTGGGCAGAACACGAGGTCAGGAGTTTGAGGCCAGTCTGACCAACATAGTGAAACCCCATCTCTACAAAAAAAAAAAAAAAAAAAATTAACCCAGTGTGGTGGTGTGCACCTGTAATCCCAGCTACTTGGGAGAACCACTTGAACCCAGGAGTCGGAGGTTGCAGTGAGCCAAGATCATGCCATTGCACTACAGCCTGGGTGATAGTGCGAGACTCCATCTCAAAAAGATAAAAATAAAAAGTAGCCTCAGCTTTTCGGTATGATGAAAAAGCTGAGTGATTCCTGGTTTCTAGGAAGCAAAATCACTTTCTAGTCCCTTAACACTTTATGCTGAACGTCTAGAACTACCTGACATACTTGCAGCAATTTTTAGCCACCTAAATTAAGTCAAGCGTATTTATCATGGTGGTGTGCTCTACAAACATCCATGCTCACCATTTCACCTTTATTGTGATGATGGTATGTACAGAAAATGTCAAATGGTCAGGGAAGGAGGAGGTGCAGGACAGAGAAATTCTAATCTAGAATAAGGTTTCGTTTGGAAGAAGGCACAGTTAGAGCAGTGAAAGCTGATAAGCCTCTCTGCTTACGTATAGTGTCTTTGAAGAGGCAAATCTAGATGCACATTCATTTATTTTCAAAGGTCTTACTTCCTGACCATCTTGATCCTCTCACCTCAGCTTGTCTAGTCCAGTCCAGCTCAGGAGAGTGTAATTTTCTCTTTACATCTGGATTAAAGAAAAATATACCACGGGCTTATTTCCATGTGCAAATGGGAAATGAGTATTTATCAACTTTAGAACATAGGAGTAATTAATAGAATGATAAAGCATACAATGAAGACAGAAAATGGGATACAAGTAGAACAGAGAGACAAAAATTATTACCAGAATAGATGAGAAGATTTGGTTCGTCAAAAAGAGAAAGCCCAACAGCAAAAGAGAAAACCAAGCAAAGGGTCTAAAAGAAAAATTAATTAATATTAATTGTCAGAAATTGAATGACTGGATGCTTTAACCTCATTATAATTTGAAAAACAAGTTAAATAATAATGATTTACTATGTACCTACTCTTATTATGCAAATGTAAATATATTAATGGTACCCAGTATTTAGCTGCAAAAAGTGGGCACTGACACGCAGTAAGAGGAAGAAAAATGGTCGCATATATTAGAGAGAAGTACAGCAATGGTTGAACAAAAATACTGTTTAATGTTTAGTCTCTTTGGTCAAATCCGCTTCCAGGAAGATGTTCTATAGAAGTACTGACATCAATATATAAATACATTTAAAATGACGTTCATGGCAGCATTGTTTAAAGTTGTAGAAAAGTGCAGAGCTCAAAACACTATGAATAGGAATCCTAAATAAATTTTGAGAAATAGATTCAATTCCACTAAATTACTGAAAATGTCAGTCTCTAAAGTATTTTAATCGATAAATATCCTTAATATATTACTGAGTAAAATATAAAAGCATATTCCAGGATATAGGAAGATCCTCTCTCTTTTTCACACTCTAAGTCTATGAATGCATATGTATAAATAAACACAAAATATATATATATCTGAAGACACAAAATACTAATGCCTCAAATACAGAGGCAATGCAAATTGAAGGGAAAGCACTGTTAATATGCGAGTTTGGGGTTTCATTGGGTATGAAAATCTATTGTCAATGTTCATCACCACTGAGGCTTATGACATTAAACTTTGCTTATTACTATAAAACAATTTCCCATATAAACCTATCAAATTTATGGAATTTGAATATGTTGCCACTCTAAGTACAGTATGAAGATGTTTTACTTCAGATAAATTAAAACCTTATGATGTTTATTTAATTTTGTTAGCATTTTGACATCTCTATATATGGGAATAGACACATATCATAGATATATTAAATTGATTTTTTGAAAGAGGTTGTGATTATAAACATTCAGCCATTCAGTCAAAAGAGGAAATGTTTCACAATTAAAGAATTACTACTTTCAAACAGTTTTCTAATCTCCATATTTTTATTCCATAAAATTCCTGTCATATGTTTTTAAAAACCTGAACTCCGAGGGTTTCTTGAACTTTCATATTTGATAATTATGTATGTAAAAGGTTGTGAATGCCTACTTGTGTCTTACAGGAAATCAGTAAGTTAGAGGAGCGTGTTTACAATGTATCAGCAGAAATTATGGCTATGAAAGAAGAACAAGTGCATTTGGAACAGGAAATAAAAGGAGAAGTGAAAGTACTGAATAACATCACCAATGATCTCAGACTGAAAGACTGGGAACATTCTCAGACCTTGAGAAATATCACTTTAATTCAAGGTAAAACATCTTGTCATTCCTCCAGAAAATGACATATATTAAAATATACTGATACATGCAGAGATTTGATATTTGAAATCCTGTGGTTTGAAATAAATAGTTTTTGAGCATATATTTACTGCAGATACCCAGAGGAAAGAATATTAAAATCAGATCAAGACAGGGAACAATAACCAGTAGCCGAGTGTCATTTAAATAGAAAGGGATAAGCCAAATATATCTTAAGGTCTAATGATTTGCTCATTGTTAAAAACTACCTCATAAGTACTGAATACAAGTTTTCTGTAATTACAAGTTTCTTCACATGTTTACAAACCAAGCTTGTTAATATTGTTTTTTTCAAAACTTTCAGTCTTTTTTACTTCTTACCTGACTGTATCATTAATTAAAAGGATCCTTTGAACTCTCCAAAATAATGATGGATTTGTCCATTTCTTCTGCAGCACCCTTTAGTGAAAAACGGTGAACTAAATCTTGCCTATATATGCATATAGAATATATAACAATTTTTCTCTCTACCAATATTACCAAAGATATATATATATATATATGCACTTTCAGTTTTGGCTTTACATTTTAGACATTTTAGTTTTAGCTTTACATTATAGATTTTTTTCTATATTTTGATTTCAACAATTTGCAGGTATTTTTCTATATTTTCACTGCAACCTTTTGCCTTTTGTTATCCTTTATTTTAGGTTTGTCTCTTGTAATGAACACTTACCTTTTCTTTTTAAAAAATATGTAATCTGACCATCTCTTTTGACTGTATTTATTTCCACTCTCTTATTTTGTGCTCTGGTTTTCTCCAGTTTATTTTATGTTTCTTTTGCTTTCCTTTATTGCCACTTTAGGCCATGAAGATTTTTCTCTTGGTGAATTTTTCTCTCTACCAAAGTTACCAAAAAGGTTTTAGGAACTTTGTAGTATATTTGTAACTTTTATTGTTTGTTGACCTTAACATTTATCTTGAAGTCTATAGTTGATCAGTATCTTAACGTTCATCCTAAAATACACAAGGAACTCAAAATGCTTCGATTATCCTCTTCCCTAGTTTCCTGCTAATATTTTTGTATAGCTCATTCTACATTAGTTTTTTAATCGAGAACTTAGTCAATATTATTTTTCTTTTTTTATACAGACAATATTGTGGAGCCCTAATTAGGGAAAAGTAGTCAGGCTGGTAGGACCAAGGAAAGCAAAAAGAGAAAGAAGAGAAGCTATAAATCTGCCTTTCTTCATGGTCCAGAACATGTAGGTCCTTCCTGCATGAAACTTATCACCAGATACCTGCAAGTTAACCCACTGTAACCTCGGCTTATCAGTACTGCACAAGCTCTCTTCAGCATATGGTATAAACACTATTCTATAAAATCTTCAGCAAACCTTTGTTTCCTGGCAATCAGTTTCTCTTCTGCTGGCCTGCTCTTTGCCTCCTTGCAACGTATTTTCCTGCTTTTGCTAATAAATCTGTCTTTCTTTATCTATAACCATCTTGGTTAATTATTTTTGCTAATAAATCTGTCTTTCTTTATCTATAACCATCTTGGTTAATTATTTAACTCTGCACCACTGGCTCAGATAGTCATCACTCACCCACAACAAATACTTATTTAAATTTGCCCATGAATTTACCAATTGTTCTCCCTTCTACATGCACCTCAGTCATTTCTTCTGGGATTATTTTGCTTCTGCATGAAGTATATCTTTTGGAAGTTCATTTAGTGAAAGTAAATTGGTAATGAAACCTTCTGATTTCATTTTCTCTATTTTGTTTTGATCTTTGAAATTGTTGTACTACATACACACTTCTTAGGTTGACAGTTATTTTGATTACTTCCATCAGTGTGCTGAAAATATTGGTCCCCTGGCTTCAAGGTTTTCTTATGGTTCTTAAAATGACTGCCACCAATCGGTTTGTCATTCTTTATGTCTTTCGTATCTGCAGTTTTACTTATCTGTGTTTTTGTATTGATAATTTATCCATTTAACATTTGTTGTACTTCTTATATTAGTAGATTTATGTCTCTCAGTTTGTGAATATAACCAGCTTCATTCACTTTGACTGTTGCTTCTTCACAATTCTTTCTCTCCTTTCCTCTGTAACTCACATAAAATTCATATTGGATGTTCTCATTCCAGCTTCCATGTCTGTTAAGCTCTATTTCATGATTTTAATATTTTGTCTCATTTTATATCATTAGCAACTAGAAAAATAGAACTAAGAACTTCATGTGATTTCATTTCAAATACATTAGTTTGAGAAAATTAAGAAGCCTAATAATCAAGTGGTGACAATGAAAAAAAAAAATAAAAACAAGTCCCAGAAAACGATATATAATTTTTACTTCTAATGCTTATAGTTAGTAAAATTAAATAATGTAAATTTACAGACACATAAATATGTAATAGAATGGTTGTTTTAAAATTTAAGAAAATGGTAAACACAAAATTCAGGCTAATGTTTATCTGTGAAAAGGAAATAGATAAATGAGAAGGGGGAACATCTAGGTAGATACCGATTTCTTGGATTGTGATGTTGCAAGGATATTCTCATTATTGTTGTATTTTATAGCTTGCTTATACAGAATACATATCACATATAGTATTTATCATAGTGAAACAGATGATAAAGGAAAATTTGAATTAATCAGATTTTTCTCTAACAATTAGATACCTCCACTTTGGATTTCAAATAAATGTCCAAAGCTTTACAAATTCAAAATGAAACCCTCACTTCTTAACTAGCCACCCCCATCCGCCTCCCCAAATCTGTTGCATTTTCAGTCTTTTTGATGGTTTTGTCATTTTCCAACTACCTGCTCACTCCATGATCTTGGAAGCTGTCTTTGACTTCCCTGCTCTCCTTCTCTATGTAATCCATTTGTAAATCCTACTAATTCTTGTTTCATACGATATCTCAAATCAAACTTCTTCTTATTCTCTATTACTACTCTCATTCAAGCAACCATATCCCAGTCTGGAATCCATTTCTCAGTTGCTTTCCCCTGCCTCTGCTCTTAGTCCATTCTAAATAGAGCAAACAAACAAACAACAATGCTATTTAAGAAAACCCACACAAATTACTAGATGTGTGTGGTTGTGTGGTTTCTCTCTTTACACTAGATGTGTCTTTTCTCTCTCGTGCTTAAATCCTCCAATATCTTCTCTTTAGTCTTGGGATGAAATTTAAACTTCTACTTGGTCTTTCACCTGTCTACTTCTCTGCCCTAATTTTCTAAATCTTCCCTCTGTCCTCCTTCAGCCTTGCTTGGAAATGTGGAAGAATTAAGTGCCATGAACAAGTAAAAGTTAATAAAGAGAAAGTGCTTGTTTCATTTCATGCTGTCCATAATGACCATTAGACATTTTCTCTTTCTCTTGAAATGTTCTTCTCTACATCCCTACTCCTTCTTGGCTCCACTTGAAGTTACCTCCTCTACCTTCCACCATTCTCACTGTAACCTCCCCCATCTCTCTCTACCATGATTTCCTTTAATCTCCCCATAGTGTTTACCACTATATGAAATTATGTCATCTGTACATTTGCTTACTTGTTTAGCTTGTATCTTCTCCAGTAGAATGTGAGCTCTGTGAGGTTAAGTCTTCTCCTTCTTGTCTACCCTCTGCATTCCCAATGCCTGTCAGAGTGCCTGGAAAATAGTGGGAGAGCAATTATATATGTGTTGAGTGAATAAGTGAAACTCACACTTCCTTCTTAGCAAGTTACACTCTGTTATAGGAGTGTCATTCTTCCTGGTTTGCAAGCTATCAATTTTAATTATTTTATATCTCCCAAGACCACTATTAGTTCTCACCGTTCTGTATTCTCTATTCCCTTGTCATTTCTTTATATCCTCATATAAATTATTCTCATCACTTCTTTGCCAGAGTTGCAGTTGTTTCCTGCCCAGACTGTGATACTTTTTGCACCCTTGTAGAATACAGCCTTCCTAATGCAAGTCTTAGATTGCATAAAAACTCTCTGTTGCCCCCTCATTAGACATACTATTTTGCCTGTAGTACTCAAGATCTTCTTCAGTGTGTCTCTTAACTAACCTTGAATGTTTCATTCCCTCCCTTGTCTTTTTTGTATATCAAATATTTCAACTAATTTGACTGTGATTCTAATGCACCCAGTACTTTGTGCATGCTGCTTCATGTATTTTCCTTTATTTGAAATATTTTCTCTTCGATTTGTATTCGAAAATATCTTATTTATCATTCAAAGTCCATTTAAGATGCTACCTCTCACATGAAACCTTTGCTGGTTCTACCAATGGTAAGGCCCAGCTGACATTTATTTCTGTCTTAATACAGAACATTAAGTATTCTCTCACAAGAGTATTCTTAATGTGATAGTTAAATTTAAAAGTATCTCATATTCTCTTCCAGAACAGTGTTAACTCTTCCTGGACACAAGTTACTTCAATTAGAAACTATTCTTTATATCTCTTATAGCACCTAGCCATAAAATATATATTAATTAAATTATAACTTAAGAAGCATATTTTAGAAATTAATGAGTGCTTTATCCTTTATCATGTGTTGATTGTAGGATGAGTGTAATTACTTTGTGTTCTCTCTTCCCTTGTATTAATAATCACTAAATAATTATACAGTTAAAAGAGACAAAGATTTTTAATACATTTCTCAAGTAGTTATAATAATTAGACTCTTAAAGCACTACATACAATTTCATTGTGGAAATGGTGAAGTAGAGTTTGGTGGAGAGTTGGGAATAACATGATTTAAAGAAGCAAAGATGAACTCTAGAGAAAGTTATTTAAGAGAAATGAAATATAATATGGTTCTGTGGTGAGAATAGCTAACATTTTGTTTACTTGGAAAGATTTTAGATATATTGGCTTCCTAGGATATAAGAGCACCAAAAAAGAAATATTGAAATTTATAGTAGAGAAAATGAAAAAGCAACTGAGGACATTTGAATTTGGAGTTTTGTACAATTAATTACTGAGATTTTAACAGCTGGACTGTAGGCTCATGCCTGTAATCCCAGCACTTAGGGAGGCTGAGACAATGTAATCCCAGCACTTTGGGAGGCTGAGACAGTGTAATCCCAGCACTTTGGGAGACTGAGACAAGAGGGCCATTTGAGCCCAGGAGTTCAAGACCAGCCTAAGCAAAGTAGCAAGACCCCATCTCTGAAAACAACAACAACAACAACAACAACAACAAAAACTGAACACTTAACAAAAGGAAAAAACCTGAATTGTGAGTTTATCTAACCACTATGTAAAGAAAAAACTCAGCTCAGGAATAATGCAAGAAAAGATACGGAAAACGAAGTCAATTAAATTTAGAACATGGTAGCATAGGATGTCAGGAAAGAAATGAAATGTTCTAGTTCTGATTTTACCCGACTAGCTTTAAGACCCTGAGCAAGTCACTCTCTGACCCTCTATAAATATGTTTAGTTAAACAATATTTAAAGTGTCTTCCAGATTAAACATATCTAAATCAGTGAGAATGAAAACTAGAAAAAAAAGATGCAGATTTAGGCAGCAATAGACTGGAAGATGTGGCAGATTTTTATGATGATCTGAATATGAGACAAGATTGAAAACAAAGTAGAAAATTAATGCTCATAATGAATAAAAACTAGAGAAGCATAGCTCTGGAAACTTAGTCAGATATTATTAGTGCTATGTTATCTGAGAATTTTAAATATGATATGATATGCCTGGGTTTGCTTTTCTAGTAAATTGGGTAATTTTGATCTATGATATTGATGATTATCACATATTATATATCAGTACTTTTTTGTGGTTATATAGAAATCTTAATTTTCCTTTTTAAGAAATGATCATGGAGGAAGCTAAATAGTAGATTTTGTGCATGTGTTTTATAAAGGTAATTCTTTATGGCAGATTATTGTGATAGTATTTATGAATTTTTCCTATAACTATAATTGAAAATATTAAAGATGAAAAATAATGTAAATTCTATGGCTTATTGAACTAGAGTAAGTCATATATTTTGGCCAATATTAACCCAGTTTTTTTTGACATATATCAGCAAGGGAGCTGACAGGTAGCATTTTGTCCATTTTTTGATGCCACGAGGCAGTTATTATGTTGATATGGGACAAAATTTTGAAAAGACTGAATGGAAACTATGAACAAAGAAGGTGACTACAAGAGACTCTGAGTCTTTATTCTTTTTTCCATAATATGGCAGAATAGATTACTGCATTTCCTTAATTTGATGGAGACATTGCAAAACAGATTCTTATCAAAAAGAAGAAGAAAGCCAACACTGAGGGAAATAGAGATGAAATAGACAAAACGCATTCAGACCAGATAAAAAAGCTCTAGCAATAGTCCAGCCATGTGACGGTGAAGACGTGAGCTACAATGGGAATGGAGAGGAGGTTAGTTTTGGAAGGTGGCAAGGTAGTGGATATTGTTCTGAAAAGTTCTGCATCAGAAACTAAGAGTAAAGTGGTATATAATTTGTTATTTTATTCCCCCAATGTATCTAAAAGACACCTAAAACATTTATTGAGATCCTTCCAACATTTTGTTAGAAACAGTAAAAGAGCTATAACAACATACAAAAATGAAACATAATAAGTAAGATTAATGTTACGTGAAGAATAGAATAACAATAAAAATGTACATTCAACACGCCTAGTTAGAACTCTAACAAAAAGCTTTACCTGTTTTTCTTATTCTAGAATTCGAATACTGGGTATCAGTATTTTTATATAAAATTACAGAGAGGGATCTTTAACTCCAAATTTTGTAAAATAACAGATGTATTTGCTGTGATTGAACTAATACTCCAAAATTAAAGCTGTATGCAGTTCTCATAATTATATGTAGCATAATTTAAAGGATAATTAGTAATTAGGAGAGTTCCTTCTATCTCTTACCTACCAAAGAAATGGTGAGAAGTCCATCGCAGAGGCTAAGAGGCTAGATCTATTCTCTGTGTCCATTGTTTCTTTTTGTTTCATGTTCTAGTTTTTCCTAGAATGTCTGAGTCTTGCTTTGGATCCTTAGTTACTAAACTGAAATCTTTGCTTGTGCACTTTTTTCCAAACACCATCGTTGAATACTATCACTGTGCTTCCCTTCACTTAGTTCAACAAAATTCAGGTTGCAAATTGAATGTCTGTCCTGCTTGCCCCCCTCCCCTCTGATTCATCACTATGTAGTGATGAATGGATGCAGCTGTGTTCATGGTTATGCAGGTAAAACCCCTTTTCTTGGGAAGTACTACATTCTTCTGCAGAGGATAGGGAGCACATACAAATTCCCTTAGATATAGAAACCTGGCATTTCTTGTGCAGCACTAAATATATGTCTCACAACAATTAAGCTATACCTTAGATTATAATACCCTGGTTAATTTCTAAAAGCCCGGTAATATGTTGTTTGCATGACGATTATGTGGAGAAAAATACACATACACACTTAGGAAGGAAGTGTTAAAGATCTTTAGTTAAAATAATACAACTATGAATTATATTTTTCCTCATGGCTTTTCTCGGCTTTTATGTTTCCTATAAGTAGAGTTGCTTTTATTATAAAAATACAATTAAATGTGTGTCCAATGCTGCATATGAAGAGAAAGGGGCATTCTATTGAGAAGAGTAATGATGTCTTGAGCCTCTAAAACCCAAATTGTACCTTGAAAATGGGACATACCAGAGGAATAGACAGAAGTAGAGTCAATGATGTCAAAGTAAGCAACAAAAAAATGGACAAAATATACTTATTCATGAGATGATCTTTATTTATTTATGTGGCCCCCTCTTAGTTTTCTTCAGGTATTATACCTCCCACCTGATTAAAATTTGTAAACAAGTGCATTCTAACCAGGGATGCTGTATACAGTTGTATGTTTTCCTTGGACCATGTATGTGACCAGACAGTAACAAATGAAAATGTTTCCTTTAAAATATCACTATTTCCTTATTCTGTGGTGAATCTATGGAATAATGTTTCTGTTTCTTTCTTTTGGTGTTGAAAAGGAAGCTAAGTGTTCTTCTTTAAATAAAGAAGAGAATATTTGTCCTCTGTACTCCATATGGAACATGGTATGTAGGTAGGATTACCTCTGAGTTCTAAAGACAAGCTAGGTATAATCATTTTAAAGACGTGATGACCAGGTATCTATTTTGCTGGATACAGAAAATACAAATGACTAAATCGGTGTTGTTTAATCACAGCTCAGGAGAGGCACCTGACAAAAATGATGAGAGCGAAGTTTTCCTAGCAGTGTCTCCATATTGTTTATAGTATCTATACCAATCTAGGAATTTGACTTAGGATTTTACTTGAAAAAAGAATTCCTCTACTCATTTTAGTCTTCCTGCCTTTCTTCATACCTTTCCTACTCCCTAAGAATTATCTTCCTTCCCCTTCTCTTCGTTCTTGAAAGTACCCCTCATTATCCTACTTTCTCAATGAAGACTTCAGCCATCACCATGCACGCCGATCTCCAGCTCACTGACAAATATCTGAGTTTATGGTCAGTTCCAACAAAGTGCTTCTGGTTGTCTCCCGTGTGTGAATTTTCCTTTCCCTTGAGGGTATCACAAATGTATTTTAAGTTCTTACTTACAGATTTTCCATATAGTAGTTAACTGCATATTATATCTAACTCAAAGTTTAACTGCCTAGGATGTGTACAACACTAATGCGACTTTGTGCCAGCCTGCTGTCTTTTCTCTGCCCCCAGGTTCTCAGAACATAGAAAAGCGTGAGGCACACTCACATTTAATATATTGTTAGGTTGTTTGTTTTGAGGCAATGTCATCCTTATTAGTACAAGGCATTATATTCCCGAATAGCAGAATACTCCTCCATTCATGAAGTTTGGTCTTATACATTTTCTGTATTATTGCACAACAAATAAAAGACCTTGGATTTCCTTATATAAGTATAGTGACAGATGACTAACCTATTTTTCCTATGCTTTATAACTATGATCAATAACTGTAATTTTTTTAAAGGTCCTCCTGGACCTCCAGGTGAAAAAGGAGATCGAGGTCCAACTGGAGAAAGTGGTCCACGAGGATTTCCAGGTCCAGTAGGTATGGCAATTATAGCTAATCGTATACTGTGAAGATAGATGATATACATCCAGGTACATGTGTAGGGGAGGATCACTATTTTATTTATATCCTGCAGAGGGTGTGTGTGTGTGTTTGTGTGTGTGTGTGTGTGTGTGTGTGTGTGTGAATGTTGGTGGGGGTTAGTAACTGTTGTAGTAGCCTAATCATATCATATTTTGAATGATAAGCATTACTCATGATTTTTGAAGAAAATAAATGCTTTAACCAGAGTAACCAAATGGAATTGTTCATAAGTCTCGAGAGTGACATGTATATAATAGACAGCAAACAGTATAAAGCAGACCCAACCTTAGATCATATGTGAAGGGGAGTACAAAAATTATCTTTGCATTGAATATATCATCTTCACATTTGCAAGCTATCTCATTTTTAAGACATAAAAACTCATACTAGTAGTGAGTTATGAATCACAAGCAAATTGGACTGTATTTCTTATGTAGTATTTGGAATATATCTGTTTAAACTAATGAAATCTGAATGTAAATATTGGCTAAAATATGGATGACATTTACCTTTGCTGACAGTCATTCTCTGTGCTTTACTAAGAGCAAAACTGTTTCAAATTGTTTTCCTCTAAGTTATAATATTGAAAGAAATATTTTGGAAAAAGACAATAGAAGACACAGAAGAGAGAACATGAACTTTCTTTGCTTGAAAAAATAAAAAAGATAATAACATGATTGTCATGTGAGCCTTGGCTAGAAATCAAATATCCTGCATGCTGTTTGATGATAGGAAGTATATTGTAAGGTCTAATTATAACTAGAATGGTTTGTGTTACCAAAAAATGTCTAAATACCACGTACTTCATCTTATTTTTCTGTCTTTTGATTATATAAAAGGTTCTTCTTTTTGATCAATGTATTGACTAGCCCTGGTCACATCAGAAAAATAATTTTTGACAATGAAAAGCATGAACTTGATACCTACCTAAGCAGATACATGTATACGTATGTACATTTATAGTGTGTGTTGTGTATGTGGCATATTATATGGGAAGATAGATGATACATCCAGGTACATGTGTTTTATATTATGTATATAAAATAGCAATCCTCCCCATATATATAATATGCCAGGTCAGATGGTATTGGCATTGGTGTGCTTTTGAATGCCTTGCCAGGAAAGAACTTTTATTCAGGAAAGCGTTTCTACTTGACTAATGCTAAGCAGATACTAACAATGTTGCATTAATGTCATAAGCAGGGGAAATAATCAGTATTAAATCTGCTGCCAGACTACTGTTGTCAAGGGTCTGTTAGCTCCTCCATACAAACTGCAATTGTCAGAGCTCTATGACTCAACCGTAAAAGTTCAGTCTGGGCTACAGCTTGCCATACAATGCTTCATCTGGGGAAAATCTTCTGCAGCTGTTTCTGAACTATGAATATATGAAATAGAAGGATTTGTAAATTTCAGCTTGTGTCTTTGATTTTGTTTTTTTTTATTGTAAATTTACAATTTGTCATGGTTTATATTTACAGGGTAAAAAGTGATGTCATAATTTGTTGCTTTTGGTACTGCTCATTTACACAAATAGGCATTACCCAGTTCCTCATAAAAGACAGGTCGAATTCCTGGGGTAATCAAATGACTCTTTTAGGGTATCAGGTTACCATTTAGTTTGGTGCACTGCAGGAAAAGTATTCAAAATATCAGGCATCTTTCCTAATGAATTATTCCCTGATTACTTGCTACATTCTGTTCATTTCTCCACCAGATTGTCTAACTGCCTCATATTTGATACTGAAATCAGGAAGCAAAGAGTATATGATGGACAATCATAGTAATTCTACTTTCTAAATTGAACAGTTTTATCACGTCCCCATCCGTACATCCATTTGAGCCTACTAAACTCAGCTTGACCAAATCAAACTCATCTAGACTCACAATCATGATGCAAATATCTGCAAAACCTAAATGGCTGTCCTAGTAGCCTCAAATAACTAATACATTAAATATCATAGAATTATGACTGATATACTGCGGTGGATATTATGTTTACATATGCTTTATTCCCTAAATAAGAACAAATTTACTTTAGAGGACTATTTCCCTGAAAGCATGTTAGGGAGAACGCCCTATCACTTTTCACTCAAAAAATATGTGCTGACCACTTTCTACAGGCTGGTTTTCTACAATATCCTGTAGAGTATGTGTAAACAGATACAGAATCTCTGAATTCACAGAGCTTCCAGGATGATAAGTAATAATATAAGTGAGGCAAATGTCATGATCAAGGATTTTTGATCTCACGTGCATTCCTTTTAAGGGGCTCATTTTAGAGTTGTTTTCCCATGACAACAATGTTTTGAAGGAGAAACAACTTTCTTTTCTAAAGGAATCTCTGGGTGGGCCATCTAAGGAGCTGTTTATGTCCATGTGATCAATAACAAGGTAGTTTGACCTGTAGGCATGGAAGGGGCTACCTACGTGAGATGCCCTGGGAGAGAAGTGAAGGCTCCTCTGGCTGCAAACTTTTCATCATCAACCAATACTATTTACTTTCCTTATATAGTCTGAATTTTCTACCATAGGAATCGTGCCTCCAGAAGAGAATATAAAGCTCATCTTAACCATGGATATTGGAAGAGAGGAACTATATTTTATTAATGTTTATATCCACATATATCTTTACCCTGGCCCACCCCTTCCCATAGGCTGTGGCCCAAGAAGGCCTCTCCCTCAGGCTTCAACAAGGACAGGATTCCTACATATACACCTGAGTAAGGAACGTTGCCTGGTTCCAGGCTGTCGCTCTACGCCTGAGTGTTGAAAGTGGGTTTCTTCTGGAGGTAACAAATGGTGCCAGTGAATCAAACAGTGTCACTGCTAACTGTGTATATATCGTTAAATAAAACTAAATTTAGAAGCCTTTACAACAGTATCACTGCTAACTGTGTACATATCGTTAAATAAAACTAAATTTAGAAGCCTTTACAACAGGCTGGTGAAAATAATGAGGATGAGGAGGAGGGAGAGGAGAACAAGAAAAGCTAACATTTACAAAGTATTCATGACATGCCAGGCACTTTTCTAAGTGGTTTACATGTATGAGCTCTTTTAATTATCACATCAGCCTGATGATGCGGAGACAAATAATACACCCATTTTACAGGTGCAATGCACAGGGAGGTTAAATGACTTGCTCGAGGTCAGTCAGCAACTAGTAAGTGGCAAAGATGGTATTTGAACCCCAATGGGCATGAGTGCAGAATCCATGCCCTTAACCAGTCTGCTACATTGCAGAAAGGAGCCAGAACAGAGCAGGACACCTAGGATGTGTGAATAATTATCAGACCAGCTTTATGTAAGTGATTTGATCACTGGGATCTTATGGAACTGTCTGTAAAATGATGGATTCTGATTGGATGATGTCTAATGTCTCTTGGAACATCCCATGGCTGAGGTTCCGTGTAATTGTACTTATATTGTCCATGAGTTAGAATTAGGTGCCAGACCCTTTCCCATTGCCACAGAGTATTGTAGAAAATTAGTTAATTGCCTCCTGAAAGCCTCAGGGAATCTGATCGTATGCAGTAAAGCTCAACAGCGGTGCTTATATTTTGGGGACAACATTTTCAAACATCATTAAACAAACAAGTCACATAACTCCATAGGCCATATAGAGTCTGCTTAACCATCTCCCAGAACAGAGCTCTATGACTGCCTGATTTCTATGAAAGTATCTCATATGCTTCATTTACAGATTTATTTGCTCACCCATTGAAAATGTACTTGATTTATAGTTCAACAACCTTGATTTTTAGTTGAACAACTGTGTTCTGAGCATCACTGTAAGGTACTTGAGAAGTCAGCGTTGGAGGGGCTTCTCTGATGCTCCTGTCTAAAGCAGGCACCATGGCATTCTCTATTCCATTACCCAGTTTTTCTAAAATTATAAATCCCAAATTACCATCTTTCTTTGTTACCTTTCTCACTATCTGTCTCTCATTGTTTCTCCACTCTGGAAGATCTGTTTGGATAAGGATATTTTTAACTCCAGGAATGTACTGAGACTGGTACAATATATATTTTTGAATTAATGAAGGAAATAGTAAAAGTGGAGGTTACTTGTGAATGGCATTCTACAAAGAGTAGGGGAATGTTTTCGAATTGTTTAAATTGGCAGAATTTACTGTCAGTGTTTTTATTTGTAAATTTGAATGACAGGTCTCAGTAACCACAAGTACAGAAGTCTCACTACCTTGCTTACATAGTGAAGGAAGGTATAAATATTAATCAGCGTGTACTGAGAACACATGTTAGGTCTTTGTTAGGCTGTGTACTCTGAAGTCCAGCCAATATATACTACTTCGTAATTAAATTGAGTTGAAATGTCCTGACTTTCCTAATATTTCTATACATAGTTTATCACTTTATTGCTTTGGGAGCAATCGTTCTAAACATAGTTTATCACTTTATTGCTTTGGAAGTTTGCTTAATTTCTGTTGGAATCAAAGTTTTATACTGGATTAATTAATATTTCTTACTATTAAGAGTAATATACTTCTTAAACTGAGCACTTCTTAGAGGGAAGTTAGCCCCGTTTTAGGTGTCTCTATTAATAAACCTCAAGAAAAGATTTAAAAAATATATTTAATATATATAAGCCCTGTCTTCCGGAACTTATGAACTAAAAGTAATATTCCAAAATGCTGGTATTGGGAAAAGATGTGTAATCAGTTTCTTACAATGTGCCTCCCTAAGGGATCAAGTGAAACTAGGTGAATGAGATCTCTCTGAATTGATAATGACACAAAATAAGATGCCGAAACTGTTACAATAGTTTATCAAGAACCACTGAAGTCTAGGATAAAATATTTTATTTCATAGGAATATAACATTTTCTTTTGTATGCAGTTGTTATGATCACCATAGTAATATTGGGTTAAAAAAATAGCCATTTTCAGTTTTATTTTAAGCATATAAAACCCTAGATTTGTTTCAGTATATAGTACATACTCGCAAGTAAATCTGTGTATCGTGTGTGTGTGTGAGTGTGTGTGTGTGTGTTTATGTTTATTTACACTGGGATGACAATGAAATATGTAAGAAGAGGTCCATGATAGATAAAGTAATATATTTCAGAGCCAAGACACCAATTTATTTTATAAACACTCATTGATACTTTACATTGCTTGAGTTGTATTTTTTCTAAGGCAAATCTTAAGAATTCAATTTTCAGCGTATACATTTTAAAGTTGTCATTTCAGCTACAGCAAAATCCTGCCATTTGATGATTACTGGTTGACTACATAAATCTTCTGGTTAAAACTCCAAGATCTATTTTTTCTAATGTGCTTTTATTTCTACTAACAATATGTTATTTTTTGAATAGCTACAATGTGCTGAATGTACTAAGGTTTATATTTATGGCTTATATTATCTTTCAATGTCAAACAATACATTTTAGGAAAGATACTATTCCTTCATTTGGAGATTCTCTAATTTCATATTCACTTATAAAACTAGATGTTTTCATTATACTCTCAAGTCTGTATGAAAATGAATTATTACCTCCTTTTTTTCTTCATTAACAATGTAGGTCCTCCAGGTCTTAAAGGTGATCGGGGAGCAATTGGCTTTCCTGGAAGTAGAGGACTCCCAGGATATGCTGGAAGGCCAGGTATTATGATAATGTGTATTTTTTTTATAGAATATGTAGAAGAAACGCCAAATGATTTATATATATACATAATGTTATATATGTAGTATATATATTTTTAAATTCTTGGATGATAAAAAGTGGTCATTGTGTGAATACTATTATTCACATTTTGTGGTCTAAAAATGATTTCTGAAATCACATTTTTGAAACTGACTTCTGTTCACCTGAGGACAGTTTCTATATCCCAAAGGAATATCATTTAAAAAAACACACAGGATTTATAAACTTTTCACAATAATAAATCATCACGAACAATGATATGCATCTTTGAACAAAGATAGTTGAAAGACTGGCAAAGAAAAAAAAAAGAAGCAAAGTATAAACACCCATTTAACCACAACCGGCCAGACTTTGTGAAGTTACAGTTAGCAAAATACAGAGAAGTCTGAAATCCTATCCTCTGCAAAATAAATTGTCTGCTATTATCTACTAGTGCTTAATCATCGGGGTTGTTCAGCATTTTGAAATGTACACACATGATGATATTATTTCCATCAGCTCTGCCAGTAGCCTAAGCTTGAATTGCAAACTTTGAACAGCAATTTTAGAAAGAGCTAGGCTTACTGTCTCCTAATTTCAAAGTGAATAATCATCAAGAGAATAGAGTTGGACCAAGTGCAGAGGTGAGCACCTGTAGTCCCAGCTATTTGAGACGCTGAGGTGGGAGGATTGCTTAGCTTAGGAGTTTGAGACGAGCCTGAGCCACACAGTGAGGCCCTGTCTCTAAAAAATAAGAAAAAGAAATAAAAGGAATAGGGTCCCTATCATTGAGGTATTTTAAAAATACATTTTATTTTTAGAACAGTTTTACATTTATAGAAAAACTGCACAGAAAGCATAGCGAGTTCCCATAAACCACCCATGCACACACGGTTTCCTCTACAATGAACATCTTGCATTAGTGTGGTACATATGTCACCATTAATAAACCAACATTGATGTATCATTATTAACCAAAATCTATAATGTACATTAGTGGTCACTCTTTGTGTTGTACATTTAATGTGTTTCAGCAGAGGTATAATGTCATGTATCCATCATTACAGTATTAGACAGAAGAGTTTTGCTGCCTGGAAGGTCCCCTGTGCTCCACCAACTCTATTCCTCCCCGCCACAATCTCTTGGCAGCCACTCATCTTTTGACTGACTCCGTAGTTTTGCCTTTTCCAGAATGTCATATAGTTGGAATCATACAGTATGTAGCTTTGTCAGACGGGCTTCTTTCACTTAGCAATATGAATGTAAGGTTTCTCTATATCTTTTCCTGGTCTGATTGCCCATTTTTTTTTTTTTTTTGAGATGGAGTCTCTCTCTGTCTCCCAGGCTGGAGTGCACTGGTTCGATCTTAGCTCACTGCAATCTCCGCCTTCCGAGTTCACGCCATTCTCCTGCCTCAGCCTCCCGAGTAGCTGGAACTACAGGCTCCCGCCACCACGCCCGGCTAATTTTTTGTATTTTTAGTAGAGACAGGGTTTCACCCTGTTAGCCAGGATGGTCTCGATCTCCTGACCTCGTGATCCGCCCGCCTCGGCCTCCCAAAGTGCTGGGATTACAGGCGTGAGCCACCGAGCCCGGCCACTCATTTCTTTTTATTACTCAATAGTATTCCATTTTATGGATTTACCACAATTTGTTTATCCATTTATCTATTAAAGGACATTTTGGTTGCTTCGAAGTTTTAGGCTGGGCATGGTGGCTCACACCTGTAATCCTAGAACTTTTGGAGGCCAAGGCAGGCAGATTACTGAGGTGGGCAGATCGCTTGAGATCAGCAGTTTGAGACCAGCCTGGCCAACATGGTGAAACCCTGTCTCTACCAAAAAATACAAAAATTAGCCAGGCATGGTGGTACATGCCTGTAATCCTAGCTATTCAGGAGGCTGAGGTGTGAGGATCAGTTGAACCCAGGAGGCAGAGGTTGCAGTGAGCCTAGATTGTGCCACTGCACTCCAGCCTGGGTGACAGAGTGAGACCCTGACTCAAAAAAAAAAAAAAAAGTTTTAGAAATTATGCATAAAGCAGCTATAAACATTAATGTGCTGGCTTTTGTGTGGACACGAGTTTACCTAGGAGTGTGATTGCTGGATCAAATGGTAAACATATGTTTAGCTTTGGAGAGGATTATTTCATTCATTCACCCAGCCCACACAACTTGATGAGGGGTCACTGTGTGCTGGAGATAAATACAGCACAGCTGCTGTTCTTAAGGAGCTGGAGACAAAAAAAAATGCATAAGCAATTAGCTATAATGCCATGTGGTAAGTAAACAACCTTGGTGCGGCTGGACGAAATGCTGTATGGAAGTGGAGAGTATGGAGTGAATAATTCCATACTGTAAGAAAATGTGTTACATACAAAGTAGTAGTGTTTGTTAGTGCCAGACTAAAAGAGGCCTAGAATTTCTTTAGGTTTGTATTTCTCAAACTATAGGAGGCATTGGAATCACCTCGAGGATGTGTTAAAACAGCTTACAGGACTCCACCCCAGAGTTTCTGATGTGGTAGGTCTGGGATTGGGCTTGCGTCCTCACCAATTTCCAGGTGAAGGTGATGCTATTGGTCCAGGGACTATATTTTGAAAACCATTATGTTTAGGTGGGAAAAAACAGCAGAGAAAAAGTAATCAAGCACAAAGAAAAACAAGGGCAGAGGTAATAAGTCCCTTGACAAAACATATCCTTAGGACATCACTTCTTATTAAAAGACACCAATCTGGTAGAGATGTGAGCAGCAGTGCCGGGTGCTGCTCTGGTTGTACTGCAGACTAGAAGAAGGAACAATACAGTCTCTCCTCTATAAGAGTCTGAAGAAGGTGGTAAAATTAGAAATAAGTCCAATGATTGTCAAAAATGAAATATGTAAAAACAGGTCCATGATAGATAAAGTAATGTATGTCAGAGCTAAGACACTGATTTATGTTATAAACACTCTTTGATACTTCACATTGCTTGAGTTGTAGTTTTTTAACAGCCTGGACTATGTGAATAACATCAAAAACGTTATCAGATTCTGAAGCAAAAAGTTCAAAAAGAACTTCCTCCATCTATTTTCTTCTATTCTCCCTCCCACACTCCTTTTCTTCCCACCTTGCCCTTTCCTTCTACATGGATTAAGTACACACTGCTCATAAGGTTACAGTGCTAGAAACAGAGAAATGGAAAGTAAATAAGACAGTCTACAACTGAAAAGATACACAAACATGAGAAGAGAAAGAGAAAGCTTCATACTTTCTCCATGCATAGCAGATCGATAGAGTAGTGCATGTATAAGACCTGACATGCTTACTTCAGAAAGTTTGGAGGATTTAATTGAAGTGAAACCTTGCATATCTTCAAAATCCATAGAAGGCTCTGTTCTACCTTGTTCAACAAAGTAGAACTTTCAGCATGCAAATAACGTGCTTCTGTCCATTTTGCCTCTTGAAGTTCATTCAAAGCCTGATTGTCTCCCTCAGGGTAAGTTAGGGTCATTTTCAGGATTATCTAAAATATTAGACATACATATCATTTATTAATTCAACACATTTACTGAACATTTTCTCTGTGTGATTCATGGAGCTATCTACAGATGGTTGAACATATGAGTCTGAAGTTTTGAAGAGAGGCCAGAGATTAAAAGACAAAGTTTAGCTATGATCATATAAATATTCTTCAGAATCCCTGATTTTAATAATATTTTATGGGTAGAGAGTGGGAAGGTACAAAGAGAAGAGGCTTAGCATAAAGCTTTAAGTAGTTCCAGAAATACAGGCTGAGATGAACAAAGTAGCAAATGGAAGAGAAGTAGCCCAACTGAAGAAGAAAACCCAGAGAATAGAGCATGAAAAAAGACAAAGACAGAGAGAGTTTCAAAGGTGGTCAAGTAAGGTGAAGTCTACAAAAAACTCTTTGCAACTGCTGCTTCGGGGATGTCGCCATTGTTCAGAGCAGATTCTGTGGGGTGGGGTGATAACCAGATTAGGGTATATGGAGGAGGGAATGGTTGACAAGGGTTGGAGATGGGGTACAGCCAACTCTTGAGCTGCCTTGCTATGCAGAGGAGGAGGAAGAGATGCACTTTTAGTTAGTTTTGTTTGTTTCATTGTTTTTTCTTTGTAGGAGGGATCTGAGTACCATTTACATGCTTATGGAAAGATAAAATAGAGGAGGAGTGGCTGAAGACAGAGGAAAGCAAAGCAAAAACATAGTGTAGGGTTAACGAGAGGGTATAAGGTGAGGAATTCAGGGACCAGGAAGAAGCACTAGACAGGAGAGAGGATGATCACATTTCAAAATAGCTTAAAAAACACGGGGGGTGGAGAGGCGGGCTACAGCTGCGAAAATTTGGTTACTATAATTAAGGCATGTATGCAAAAACGTCTAACCTAGTATCTGGCTCATAGAAGAGGTACTTAAAAATGCTTGACATCATGATGATGTTATTGAAGACACCTTCTCTTACATTCTTTCAAGTTAGACTATCCTCTTACATATGACCTGGTTCTTATTTTTAAATGGCTTTTAGAAATGTAAGTTACCTTTCTTAAAAGAGTAATACATAGAACAGGGGATAGTTAACTCTAGGTTTGGACCAAGCTCTTGCATTCATTTTTTACCAAAGGTATCATTCTGAGGAGCCAATACATTCCTCTCCTTTAGAAAGGATATTTTTGATGTTTTCAAGTGTGAAAAAAAATTTCCAAGTATCATCGGTAAGCAAATCTCTGAATCATGTTAAAATGATACAAAACATTTGTTTATTTATAAGGAGATAAGGCATTTCATTTTACCATCTTTAAGAGGAAAAGTCACAGTGGTGTAAGAACAAAAGCAAAATAAAAACATGAAAGTAATTTTTTATTTATCATGGAATCTGAGAGCTACAAGGGCCTTTCGTGGGTCAGTGCTCTGGCTTAAGTATGTCTGTTCTGAAATATCTAAGACAAGTTGCTGTGTGAAAAGGCTTCTAAGAACAATACAT